CCTTCCCCCTCCATCTCATTTCCCCTCCTCTTTCACGCATAACAAACTTCTTTTCTCTCCTTCCCCCTTTCCCCCCTCTCTCTCTCTCTTTCTCCCTCGCTTACTCTCTTTCTCTTTTTCGCTATTTCCCCCTCCATATGCCCGTCTGGCTATGTCCGGCTTGATTCGTCATAAAATCGTAGTATATTTTCCAGCCCGAAGTACCCCCGTATCCTTGAATTGAAGCGACAGCTGGTGGAGGAGAGAAGGGGAAGGGGGCAGAGAGGTAATTTAGAAGACTCAGGAGGACCTCGAGGCCAGATACTTGACGCGCTATAACTATCCTCGTCGCGTCGAATTTTAACTCGTCTCACGAACTTGACCTTCAAATTTAAATTTTTCCCTATCGTAAACTTCACGCCAAATTGGCGGTCGCCGTAACCTTTTAATCTCGGGCGCCGAACGCGTTGGGAAATAATGCAGACTGTTTCGACGGCGGGTTCTCAGACGAGTACGTTCGACTCATAAAGAAGAAGCATTTTTTTGTTTCCAGAAATTGACATATTTATCACGAGTCTTGGCAGTACTGTCTGTGTATTCGGATGAGAAAGTTTGAATAAGGCGGGTTCTATCCGTGCGCCCTGTCTCATCCGTGAAGTTTCCCGTCGATCGATCTCGACGACACGGTGCGCGTTGTCGGAGCGTCACCGGTTTTTTATCGCAATATTTACATCCTGATTTCGTCGACGCCGACATTTTATCCCGAGCCCGATGCAAAACAGGAGTGCGCGCGCCGCCCGGCGAAATATTTACTCTGCAATTCGTACATGTAATAACTCCGGATATTTCGACCCGCACCGACAGATGCACCATGCGTGCAGTCCGTTTATGCAGTCCGCCCCTTGTTTGATTTCCACCGGAATATTTTACGCCAATGACGCCACCCTCTCCTTTTTCGCGCGAGCTTTCCGATAAATCGACTGGGCTACGGGTCTAAAAAAGGGAAGCAAGAAAATCAGGACGACACGCGCTGTTAAATACAGTTGATACTTTGTATCGTTGAAACAGTAGATGGGCGGGAGCATCTTCGTGTTACTGCGAGAAAAAGCGCACAAAAGATATATTTATTAAGCGTAGGAAAAATATATTAAATCTCGCGTAAACGAATGAATAAAGTTATAAACAAACGATAAATGGCGGTACCGCGACGCATTTTATTTATTCAACGTTTCCGCAATTTCATTGCGCCCGTCGCATCGCACGTGTGTACTTTCGCGTGTGCGTGTCCGTGCGTATTTAATTCTATAATATATGAAAAATTTCACCCGCTCGACGCTAAACTGATGATTTCGAAATCGCTGAGATCGATGATTACAAACTCGATAATAAACTCACGCCGGAACTCCTCTCTTTCCGAATTGCTCGTAAAATCTCGAGAGCGACCAATTTTTGCTTTATTTTTTTTTGCTGCGACGGAATCGAAACATTAAAACGCAAATAATTTTACAGTAAATTGTCGGAATTTGCCCGTACGAATTTCGCGGGCTTGCACGGCGCTCCCGATGATCGATCGGCGCTCGTTCCTTTTTCGTTTTATTTATCTTCACTCGAATTAAAACGCCCGTTGTCATAATGTTTATCGTATATCAACAGTCATCGCCTAAACCGTTCGCCGTAAATCAGGAATCATGGGCGGTGATCTGAAGATCTGATAAATCAAACTCGAAGAAGCGGTTTTGTAAAAACGTTGTTACGGTCGATGAACCTCGTCGCGTTGGCCTTGATTAATGCAAGAAATATTTAAATTGCGCGCCCATTCCGATTACGTTAATGCATAATGCATGTTTGGAGGTAAACCGCGGCTATTCCTTAATAAATCGCGATATTCTAAAGCGCCGTAAATTCCTTGAGATTAAATAGTTATTCCCGTAATTGCATGAAAAAACCATTTTGTAAATAATATGTGCGTACGTTGCTTCTTATAATTTACGATGTAATTATAATAAGAATATAACTTTTCATAGTTATAGAGCAATAACTTCCATAATTCTACAAATTATTTTTATCCTAACAAAACCCATTATAATCTTTATCAAAAATCATAATAGTGTCTTTTATATGATCCAATAGGGATAAAAATAGGAATATGTATATATTTCCTAACCGATAATATATAGAGTAACTCCGCATTATTATATGGAGTTTTTAGGCCGCACGGGGATTTACGCTGCAGAAATAAAAAATAAAAAAATTGAAAAAATGGGAGTTTACCTTCAATCACTCCGTTATACGCCTTTATGTTATGTTAATATTTTGTTATGATTTCAGTTTTTTATTATTAATTTATGCCGCAATACCAGATGCTCTGTACGAAAGCAACGTACCATAAATCAGACGCCGACCTTTACCTTTACTTGTTTTTATACTAAACCGTTTTATTAAAAAGAAATAAAAAAGTAAGAGAAAGAGGGAAGCGTACAGATATAAATGATCGCGCGCCACTTATTGCGTCGAATGGCGCCATATTGCGACATGCTAATGAATTTTTTCCTACGCCAGCGGAGGGAGTAAAAAAAGAAAAAGATTAATTCACCGCGGAGGCCTCCTTCCGCGGGAGGTGAATGGGAGACGCGCTCGCGGGAGAAAGATATTAAAAATTAATCCTCTCAGCCGTTAAGGGCTCCAGGGTTGTTCGGGGGCGACAAGTGGTCGTAATGAACGCTCTAATGAACATGCACAACGAGCGCGACCTCGTTAAGCCACGTGGACGGCCGATCGTTAACACGTGGCCTCCTTTTCTAACTGTTACTTAGGGCCCACCGAACAAAACAAAAGAGGAAGAAAGGAGGGTGGGGTCATGTAGGGCCGATATGTCGATGAAATGGAGTGAAGGGTGTTGCGCCCCTCGGTGTTCCTCAAGCCGTTCTTTCGCAACTCGGTGATTAAAATCGAGCTGAAGATTCCCGGCAAAAATTCCGTGGAAAATTCTCAAGAGCCTCAAGAGATTTGTGAGCGCGAAATCTCTTTCTCTTCCTCTTCCTCTCTCTCTCTCTCTCTCTCTCTTTTTTACTTTCTCTCTCTAAATCTTACGAGCGAAACTTTTTCGCGGGATCATAAGAACAAGACGTTATTAGTTCCTCGCACATGAAGTGTCAAACGTAGAAAATTTATACGTGGATATAAAAACAAAAACTTCGGCCGGTATTTATAGTGAGATCTTATATTTAAGACCATCCTCAGTCTTAAGTTCAGATGTTTCGCAGCCAATGAAATGAGCCACGCAGCATCTGAAGATAAACTTAAGACGGTTTCAAATATAAGATTCGACCATGAATACTTTAGACACTCGTTCGGAATTCTACACTGATGCGCGTTAGACATTATATACTAATATTGTTCACACATGATAATACGATTAGATAATGCTCTCGCTCAGCGTAGAGTTTACATCACGATCCGTTCCCGTAACGAATTGATCGTGCTTATTTTTCCTAATTGACCTTTCAAGCTAACTCACTTCTCCTAATGGTGCAGCGAGGCATTTCGTCGATACTTCGCCTCGTTACCACGAGATCCCCCGAAATTCGCATTTTTGGAAGGATCCGCTGTAAATTAGGTCCGTAATCAGGTACCGGGGCCGCTCGCCGTAATTATTACGGCGAGCACCGGGCCACGGTGGAACGAACGGCGCTTCGTTACGATCTCCCGGAGATCGTGTCGAAATAACAAGGTAACCACCGGTTAACCCCGTTATCGCGCGGCCGGGGTTTATGGGGTCCCGCGTCGCTGACAAGCGAGCCCCATGGTGCGAGTATATCACGGCGCGGCGCAGTTATGTTTCAGCGAGGTTATTCCGCAGGTGTATATTCCGGGGTGGAACGCGCCCTGCCTGGATATTAATTGGCTTCCGATCTACACGCCGAGATCGCATCCCTGTCACTCCCTACGCGTGCCATTAGCCCCGTAACGGACATATACAGGGCGTTCGGTCACTATGTATCCTAATTACGCATTCCTTAAGGAATATATGTATTGATTTGGAGGACAATTTAATTATAAACATGTATAGGTGAGTTTACTTTGCACTTGGATATATATAATATCTTCATAGGAAGAGGGAGGAAAAGAAGTACAAGAGAAATGGTTATTACGGATTCGATATGAGAAATGTGAAACGAAATGGCGATATGACACGATCATACTCAGAATATTAAATATAGCGTGCGTTGTAATGTGAGAGATTCACGTTTCAGGAATTCTTCGATAAATTTGAAGTCTATATCGGTTGTCTGTATTCGGATTGGACGTCAACTCGAATATATTTTACAAGCGCGCGATCAAAACAGGAATGTGAGGTTGCGTTTCAGTATTCACTGGCAGTACTAAAAATCTATAATATACGCAATATGAATTATAGGTTTTCAGTATTGGCAATGAATCGAAACGCAGCCAATTTATATGTGAAACTTTTGCCTTACGTGTAATTTTATTTAAGTAAAATTATATATTTCATTAATGATGGCAAAAGTATGATCACAATTTAAACTAAAATTTCAATTCATGTGGTGTCATAATTAGAATATGACAGATGATAACAACCGTAAGAAATCAATAGGTTAAGTGTCAATCGAAATTTTTTCAATTATTTCTCAGGTGTCATGAAAAGTATCTTCCCGCCCTTCCAAACAGATATATTCCTTATTTTTTTACTGTAATTTATTTACTTAGATTGCGTAAAAACTGGTTTTTAAATGTACGTCAACTGAATTTTAAATGTTAAATTTTGGTTAGAGGAAGTTACACGGACGCAACACATTTCGTTTAATGAAATGCTTCTCAGTTATCACGAAAAATAAACGTAGATGGAGTCAAACTACTCTACGCTTCCACAGAGTTTCAAAATTTTTTTAATTTAGCGGCTTGCATCGAAATTCTCTTATCAATACTGAGCGGACGTGAATGTAAAATCGTCCAATTGGCCGATCGACAGATAGACAGACAGATAGACAGGAGTCACTCACCTTATAGATCTCGTCGACGAGCCTGGTGAGTTCCTCGGTCTCCATGATGACCTCCCAGATGAAAACTCCGCTTTTCCCGACTTCACGAGATGCTCATATTTTCCTGTCCTCCCGAGACCGGATCTCACGTGACCGCTCCACTTTCGCGAACTCGATCGCGACGCTCGTTCCGTTCGATATACCACGCCGGCCCGATCTGGAATGCAAAGGAAAACCGGAAATTAGATGCGCGCGCAATTACATGGACGTTCATTAAAATAAACATATATGTGTGCGTGCAGACGAAAACGCGTACGTTAATTAAATGAGTTCAGTGAAATAGTTTCGGAGTCAGCGTGCTTTTTACACCATTGTTAAGATAAATAGTGAATAAAAAGATCAACATAATTTATATTGTAATGTGTGTGTGTGTGTGTGTGTGTGTATTGTAACAATTGATATTAACATTTCCTTAAATTAAATTAATATTTAATGACTTAGATATACATGAAACCTGGATATGTGAAACTACACTAATTCACAAGTCTTCTATACGCTGATGCTAATGAAGCAAATGTCGGAACAAACAAACACAAGAGTTATAATGCAATCATTCAGTTTAATTAATATTTTCTTCAATTAAATTCATATATTTAACAATATGTGAGATAATTATTCATTTTAAAGAACATAGCTCCGATAACTTTGACCTTGACATATGTTGTTGAGAACTTCTTCCTGAGGAACAGCCTCCAACAGGTTTTAACCAGTGGTGTTTGTTCATAAAAAATGATTAACAAGGTCAGGTTTATCAGTGGCTCGAACAGTTGAAGTGGGAATCTCACCTTAGCCCGAAATTTCGTTTTAGCCATGGAAAATAATTAACGTAGGCGAATCCGTGGATATTTAAATGCCGTGTGGGTTTTGTGCATTCAGTGATATTCGACTTCTGCTATTTCTCCCCGCGAGTCTCTACCCAACTATTTATCTATTACTACGTTTTTATGATAATGATCTCTAGCAGAAAAACGCATTCCTCTATTGATTGTGGCCAGCCGGCATCGCTGGAATCTCGATGGAAACACCATCTGGGCTAAGCACAGGCTAAGCATTACTCATACGTGGAACGAGAGGTCACGTTTTCAAAGTACTTTCATTCCGCAAGGACACCCGGTATGCGCGCGAGCGGCTATGGGAGAGCCGCATAACTTCGCCGCTTCTATTTCTCGACGCGGATCTACGGACCGCGCGGCAAGGTGTTCACGGATCGACGATTGAGAAATCCGCTGAATCTCCATCCGATTCGAGAACGATCCCGAGTCGCGCGAATTCAGAATATCGTTCATTGAACTCTCGTATGTGAGCGGGGTGTGGTTTCGAGTACCGTTTTTCCAAAACTTTCGTGTACTTGGCGAAAAGATATCAATACATTTCTAACCGTACATGGTAAGAAATTTTGTAATAAATTTAATACATTTCGTGTCCTAAACGATCTACAGAAACTTTCGTGTTAATTTAACACAAGTAGATATGTTGAAGAGTAACACAAATATTATGTCAAAAATGAATGCTACATTAATCGGCACTGAAGTATAAAATATGTGTTATTTTAACACTTTAATAGTTATAAAAATGTGTTATTTTAATACTTTTAACACTGACTATCGGCTCAACACAAAGTATTAAGATAACATAAACACAATATGTTAAATCAACACGATATGTTAAAAATTTAACACAAAAATTATAATAAAAACCGATTTTAACATAAATATAAAAAGTTTTTTTATCGTGTGCTAACAAATTTAATGAGGATAAATTTTGCATAATATCTGTTATCTCTGTCATCACAATAAAATCAAAGTCGCACATTATTATTATCGGGTATTATCAGTAATTTAAAGCTATCGTATGATACTGTATGAAATTGCAGTTTAAATCTTCATAGTCAGCGGTTTCCTTTCGGGAAAAGCCGAAGAGAGAGAGAGAGAGAGAGAGAGAGAAAGAGAGAGAGTGGAAGAGATTCTTAATTTCTGTACACGACACGATAGATATTCGTGGACACAATTCGTAACTCGCTCGGACGGATTTGTACAGCAATTTAAAAGGCAACACCGCTGCCAAAGGTAAATGCCACGGCGCGATAATTGCAGTTGCATGCGACGTTGACGTCACGACGGTAACAGGCGGCGATTGTGAGAGTGTCACGTGCGAATGCAACGGAAAAGTGAATCGGTGACTGCAAACGAAATATCAATCGCCGCGACTCGCGTAACGTGTGTAACATAATAGCTCGATTAATAATAAAGCTGCCGTCGCTCGACGACTCACCGTGCCCGGGCTGAACGCGCGCTTAATTAATAAATTGACATTTCATAAATTAATCCGCGCCGAGACTGCAAATTCACAAAGTTCGCCGAACTGTTTAGACTTTATCAATAATCCCGACGACCCGAGTAATTTGTCAATTTGTCGTCGGCTACATTTTTTTACGTTTCATATAAAATTGATACCGCGGACAATTCCTTTGCCATGCGCGCAATTTTAAATCTCTCGTAACAGGATCGTTTATGTTACGCGCAAAAGCTCTCCGTTAGTACAAATTTTCTGTGACGGAACAGCACAAATAACAGGGGACACGCGCATTCACAAGTGCGTAACTGAAATATAGCGAAAAATTTTATAATTTTTTACCAATTGAACGATATTAAATGTCCCGNCCCCCCCATCCCGCCGCGAATATAGGAAACGAATAAAAGTCTCATAAGCACGGGGGGGGATACCTATGTTATCCAAATTATCAATCCATCGAAATGTGTAATCAAACGATATCCTGATTCGATGAGCGAAATGCGGCGAATATTGGCGAGGTGCGCTCGTTCAAATCGTTAAATCGCAACGATCGATGCGACGCGATGCATGCGTGCATGCGTGCACGCGAGTACTATTCGATCGCGATCGCAACACGGAGCGGAAGATTCGATTAAACGATGAAAGCGGTGCAAAATTCGCCACGGCCTATCAAAAGCGCGCATTTCTGTATCTCTCTCTCTCTCTCTCTCTCTCTAGCGCTCGCGAATTCGCTCGTTCGCGAATTTCGCCGACGCAACTTCGCAAACGCTCACGCGCTCGCCCCGCGCACGCCTCCCGAAAGCTTTCAAGCGAATTAAATTCTCTCGAATCGTTTACGATAAAATGTTTCCCTTTAATCTCTCTAATCACCGACGCGCCTCCGCTCTGCAAACTTTCGCAAATTTAACTGGTAAACGTGACTAGAGACGCTTTAAAGTATCGATACTCGATTCTCGCGGTCGATTGCTAATACGGAAGTATCGGTGCCCGATCTTTCCGCTCTGACGACGGTGCGCGACCGAGTGGACGAATTAATAAATAATGATAATAATAATAATAACAACCTTGGCAAAGATGCTTATTATAATTAAATAACAAACGGCGAAGTAAACCGCTAATTAAAGCAACTGACGCTAAAATAACAAAGGTTAGCATTGTCAACATAATGTGATATGTGCGTTATTCTCGATAGCTAAATCGTATCAACGTACAGGCATATCGTTTCTGTATAAACTGCATTAATTATTTAATTAATGACATTACTTACAAACGTGTTTAACGCAGAATCGAATAAAACGATACAACCGTTGAGCGGAAGTTTTCCCGACGATAATTATCGCTCGTCCAAGCCGCGCTTGAAAACTGTCGTATCCCGAATAACGCGCTGTCGATCACATGCAACGGTGCATCGAACTTGCGCCGCGCGCGCGTTACTTTCTTCGTTACGAGAGATCCGTATTGTTACATCACCGACGCGAATATGTTTATTAGAGCGGTCGACAACCCGTGTACCCTCCTCTCTCGTCTCTTTCATTCCCCCTTCTTCTTCGCCAAGATTAAATTCTGCTTTCTCCGAGCTCTGACTTATCGAAGCGATATTTACATAAACTATGCACGTCCAAGGTAGAAGCGCAATAATGGAAATAACTGTGGGATTGCAGCGCTGCGCGCCGGTACGTGCGAACATTTTTCCCAAGAAGAATACTAGACTACCGGTTTTCACGATTAGCAATTATAAATTTTAAAGAATTCGTAGACGCGTTATTAGGTATCTCAAAGCCATCGTATGTCAAACAGTTGTGTGTATGTGTGTGTGTGTGGTTAATTAAGGAATTTTTATAACGCATCAATCCAAGTTCAAATTAATGATAACCAATTCCAATTAAAGCGATTGTTTATTAATATTGCGGAATTAATTTTTACTCGTCAAAGTTTTTGCTCTGCTCCGTTAATAATTTTAAACAATAATTACTTTTCTCGCGTAAAGTCTGAAGTATACGCAATAAAAGAATTTGTATTAAATTTAATACATATCACATGTCCCAAACGATCCACACAAATTTTTGTGTTAATTTAATACAAGATGAAAATTCGTTGTGTTATTGTAACATATATGTTGAACATCGACTCAATACAAAATATTGAGATAACATAAACACAACATGTTAAATTAACACACGAGTATGTTAAAAATTTCACACAAAAATCTTAACAAGGACCGATTTTAACACAAGTACAAAATGTTTTTTTACTATGTACCTAAAAAAACTTTCTTCAACATTATTATTATTATTATTTTCATTCAACAAATTTCATGCGATACTCTTTAATCGTTCATTTTTCCCAGCGCGCGTACCGCGCCCACCCCCTACTCAGAGAACTTTCTTGCTCCCTCCCCGCGAATCGGCGATTCTATCAGAGCCTAACGGTCCGTAACGTTAGAGGAGATCGAAAGAAAGGACGAGAAGCGAAGAACAAGCCAACACACGTACGATGCTGTTAGCGTAACTCCGTACGATACAATGTGCTGCGCATTCGCGCGTATGAACGCCTACGCGCCGCAGGTGCAATCGGGAGTTTCTGCCCGCAGGATACTAGGACCGTTCTATAACCGTTACGACAGAGTCGGCCAGGACGACATTCCTTGACAGCCGCGATTTGAATAAACGAACGATCCGGGGAACGAAGCCCAAGGAATTCGCTCACGGACGCACCTCCGCAGGAATTTCGCGAAAAAAAAATTTTTTCCGCCAGTCTCACGGTGCGCATGATAAAAGATCGCGCATATTTATTTCCACAATCTCCCGTTGGAAACTTGCGCCGACGGTATCTTTAAAGCACACCGTGCGAACACCGTTTGCACATTAGCGGCGGAGAGTAACGAGCTTCTCGCGAAATAAGTTTTGCGAATGCTAATTGTTTCGGTCGGCACGAATCGCCGTTTGATGTTCCCGGACCGCGAAATTCCCACCGAGAGGGAAAATTGACTAGAGCCGTCGTCAAAGAGCACGTATTATCAATCGCGTCCTTCTTTCATCGGCGCGCTTTGTGTAAAAGCGTACGTGCAATAACATACGTGTAATATCAAGAGCAATTTTATTAGCAACGCGGTAATTTCCTTTTTCAAGGCTAGCGAGACCATGACGGGGGAAAGCGAGCGAGCGAGCGAGCGAGCGAGCGAGCGAGAGAGAGAGAGAGAGAGAGAGAGAGAGAGAGAGAGAGAGAGAGAGAGAGAGAGAGAGAGAGAGAGCTTATAGAACTAGTTCTATAAACGAGATTCCGCGAGCTGTAAATTGGCGCGAAAAAAGCGCACGCGCCTCCAAAGCGCAGCCGTTTTATCTCTTTCTTTTCTCTGCGAACTGTAAAACATATCCTTGGCTTTCAAAGCCCCGCGCGTCCACCATTTCCCCCCTCCTCCGCTTTCATACTTTTTCTGCTACCGTTCTCCTCCTTCCTTTATATCCCCTCCTCCTCATCCTCACCCACCTACATCGTAGCTTTAATTATCGCCTCAAAGGACCCGGCGCTTTTGCTTTATTTATCCATCGATGACGTTCCCTTATCCCGCATCGTCAAAGAAATCCTTACGGACGTTAATTAACCTTCGAACGCAAAAAAAGCGGGGCTGTAAAAACGGATGGGCGCGCCCATATTCGTTGTAATAATGAGGAAGGAAACTATTCTTTAACCCCTTTCGTCATATCCCACCGCGTGTCTCACTGTCGACCTTTTCGCGTATGCTGGAGTAGGATATCTCGGCTCTCGTGGCCTTTATTACATTGGAATCTACGTAACTCTCTATTACGTAGAATTTGCCCCGATTCAATTAGAAACTTAATTAGTGGACGTGTGTCTATATTTATATGTAATTCAGCTAAACGTTCGTTAATTTCTCGTATATTGCTATATATTATTTAATTGCCTCGAAAAACTCGAAATGAACGAATGTGAAGGTACGGAAATGAATTTAAAAACCAAAAGAAGTATTTATTTAACTGATAAGTTTTGATTCTTTATACGGAAAAAATTCTTCAGGAAAATGTAATAATCTCGCTTTGTGAAAATATGAAAATATGAAAACAACAAGATCGACTAATCTCTCTGTATCTTAGTCGACCAATTTTTCGCGCCTTTATATTTTTTACATTTTTGTTAACGTGTATCTCCCTCTCCCATGTACTTTAAATCTCGATTAAACTCAAAATGTGCGCAGACCGCAATAACCGAGTGACTACGAGTCTGCACGTTTGCGCAAATGAAGAAAAGGTGCAACACATCGGCGCGAACGACGAGCACGGAGGTCAAAAGGAAAGAAATTTATACTGTGACGGAAATCACGCGGTAAAGAGTTAACGACGAATTACGAGCTGCAACGGAAGCCCGGTATCACCCCGTGAATTATCTGTCGCTTTATCGAGGACATAAATTTCGATTTGCAGCTGACACTCGGTACCGTTCAATACTCGGTCCAGCGCTTATACATTTTTTTTTTTTACAACTCCAATAATTCCCCGGCCCGGCCAAATGGGCCAGCCATTTTGCGCGTTCGACTTTAAGAGAGAAAGAGAGACGTGGCAAAACAGAAAGAATGAAAAAAATAAGAGACAAGGAGAAGGGGACGAAAGAAGCAAGAATGAAATCCGATGAAAGAGTCCCATTGCGACACTGAATCGCTCGCGGATGATTTCCGTCGATGAAATATTCATAATTTAATATGTCCCTGCTCTTCGGTCTACCTCTCTTTTTCTCTCTTCAAGCGGAATAGTCGCGAGATGAAATATTCATCCTCGGGATGATGACGATGTCGATCTGAGAAAATGCGCCACGCGTCATCGATTTCCTCGTGAGTGACTCGAACGGAATTCTCGATTATTTCCATGCATTGCAAAACGCGATTTCTCCTTAGCCTTTCGATTATCTCATTTAATTTTCAAAGTAATGTTTCTTTTTTTCACTCGAATTAATCCTGCAGATATCATTTTTCCGCGCATTACGCAATATTTCCTTAAAATGTGATTCTCCTGTCTGTAAGTTTTGATTAAATTCTCCGACACTGTTCTTTCTTTTCCAGGATAAAATATTGCTTATGATAAATATGCAAGATATGCTCTCAATCATCCATTAAGATCTCCTCGATATTCATATTTCGACACCTCCTCCCAAGATATCCCGTTCTTCACAATGTTTCTATTTACATTCTACGCAATTTTCGATTTTCCGATTCGTCTCGCGGAAATACGTATTTCCGGACTCGTTAAATTCGCAATGCCGGCATTACTTCGCAAATATCCGGCCATCGACGGAACTCTTTCGCCGATACGAGATATTTCACGCGTAAACTTCACGTACGATTTGTTCGCGTTTCACGAGGCTTCTAAATTCGCCACGTATTTTCCGCGCGTTCTCTCCGGCGAGAGACTGGAATTTCGGCATTTCGCTCTCGCGCGACTCCCGTGGAAATAATTCCAAGGATCCTACAAGGTCGTAAACATTCGGGTCACAAAACATCGTGAGACACGAGTCTAATAACAATTGTCGCGGTAGCTTGCACACCGAATGATTCAAAAGAAAACCGCAATATTTGAGGAACACAAATTTAAGGTGAGAAATGAGCGAGAGCGTTCATATATAGTTTTCTGTTGCGTATACTATGAGGAAAGAAAAATGCCACAATATTTGTTAGCTTCATTTAACAAATATTTCCAGAATTATTTTTCTAGACTATTCTTATTACCGTGAATATTTCCGTCTCTCGTTACCTCTCTGTTAATTAAATTTTTTGCTTTCGCTTGTAAATTATACAGAGTAATAAAATTATTCTTAACAATGACATTGAAATTAATTTCAAACTATATTAAGATCAATGGCATTTCGACAACCTATTATGAATACATAATTTATTGTAATCATTATTGATATTAAACTGCTAATTTTTTCTGCACAATCATAAAAAATGATAATCCAAACAATTAACAATAACGTAATTATAGTGATATCAATGTAAATTATAATAAGTATGACAAAATGGCAAAGGATACATTTCCTTTACAAATGTAAAATTATTCAAGTCGGGCACACTTTCCACACGAACTGTTTTATTTACTTTACCATACCTTGAAAGTATTACAGTTCTCTTATGAACTATCCTATAGACCAAGAATCCATAGTGAAAACAATAGAAAAAAAATATAACCGGCAATCATAACTTTTCAAATTATTCGATTTCTCGTTGTGTTTATCTTACTATACCTGTTACACCTATTTATCTTACTATACCTATTACATCTATTACATAATTAGTCATTGTTCTCAATGATCTTGAGATTCGCATCTAAACTTAAAACTAAAATTTTCGGATCTAATTTTTCTACCCCGACAGTTGGCGGGACTCACCTGAGATCCTGCAAGATCGACGGATCCAGATCAGGGGAAGAATATCGAACTGCCGGATGACCGACGAAGGCACTCCTCGGGAAAAGGCTCCGAGAAACGCGAAGGATCGGGGAAGACGGAACACCTCGCGAATGATCGAACGATACGAAGACGATACACTCAAATCGACGCGCGCGAGACTACTGAGCGGTGCCAAGGGTTGCCGAGCGAACGGTCGCTCGGCGCAGGTCGGCCGCCGCGCCGGTGAGCCGAGAACGCACGATCCACTCGCTCGCAAGAGTCACCTCGGTTGTGTTCATGAACATGCATGCACATGCATGTTCATACATGTATGTTGTGTGTTTAATTTATTAAATACTACGCAAGTCACTTCTATGTCATAATTAACTCATGTAGTTGCTCGTATAAAATTATTTAGGAAAATGCAGGAGATATAATTAATAAGTAAAAGTATCTATCAAATAATTATGATATAATTGGGAAGGGACGTCTCATTATATTCTCGTTAGTACTATTATTTCCTGGAATGTTTTGATAAGATTGGAAGTTAGATATTGAGAGGTCTCCAATTTACAAACTTAATAAGATTTCACAGCAAAGAGGATAAAAGTTTATCTGTTGCTGCGACTGAAATTATTTTACTCGCGCAAGAGAAATGTTCCAACAATAAAATATGAAAATAAGATATAGAATAGAAATAATTAGCCGGTAGGATGTTATACATATATATATATATATATATATATATATAGTTCGACAATTTAATTATAAAGAATTATAGAAACATCCTGATAAAAAACTTTGAGATTCAATATCAATACAAATTTCAAATAACAATATTTATCGAAAATCTACGTAGTCAAGAAGTTTTCCGTTCACCCTTAATAAAGAGACTAACTTCTCATTGTTTTTGTTACGAATCCGTCACTTCATGGATCACAATGTCAGCAAAAGAAGTCGTTTGCCAACCGACAGTATCGACATTTTTTTTCTTTTCTGTCTTCATATGTACACTTTTACATTCATATATAATTTTCTTTATAGAATTGATTGCGATTTATTAAAAAATATTAATTTATATTATATATTTTTGAATATATCTGCTAAAACCTTTTCCGACTGGCGAATTTTAAAGAGTTTATCGCGCAATTTATAGCCGACATTAACAACAAATTACTCCATAAAGTTTTAATCGAAAACGCAGCACCATTTCATTGAACTTTTCCTCTACGGCCTCCTCAGCCAAAGCAGAGGAGGAGGCCAGGGGGGAATTCAATTAAAAGGTACAGTGCACCTATGCTAATGTAAAGTTGAAATCTCTCGGCTTTATCTAGCGATAAACACGGCCGCTTAGTTTTATCGTGCGAAAACAAAAATATAATAGTGCGACATATATGTACATATATATATATATATATAGATAGATAGATAGATAGATAGATAGATAGATAGATAAACATATCATATTATCTCGAGTTAATGGCATAGAACGAAACATTACATTTACAGAATAAACCGCGCCTCTGATTATTAATCGGTGACATACAGCTTCAAATCAGATAAACAGATAACTACAACACTATGTCACTGGTGAAACGTTACACCGTATAGAGCACGATGAAAGTACTCGATATCGAAGGCAGAACATCCGCCGTTACAATCGTATCCCCGCACGAACGACACGAAAGTGTCTCCCGGCGAGTTTTCTCGTTGAGAGCGCATCTTCGATGTAGCCGCGAGTTTATGGGGTCAGCGACGAAAGGAGGACTTACGATGGAATGTGGTAAAGGCCGGAATGAAGGTCGGAGACTACTATTACCGAGGGAACCAACGCAGACCAGTTGGTCGATCGGTTGGTCGGTCGATCTGTCGGTCGGCCAGTCTCCCGTTGGCCGTGTTTCCGATAATGGACTCGAAAATACGCAGCAGATCGAGAATTCCCGCGCCAATTTCCCCGCTCTCGGCTCGCTCGCTCGCTTAACGGCGCTAATTAATTTTACAGACCGCTCGTTGCGACTAATCGAAGCTGTTCGCCAAATTCTCCCATAAACAACCCGGCCAGAAGAACACCGGGTGACGGCGGTGTTGCACGATGTTTCATTATTTTTGCGATTACTTCACAGTTAAATAAATCAACAATTAATTAAACGTGTCATCATACTTTCTCGCCTCGATCAGCCTCTGTTATTCGTTAACCGTGATCATTGATCATCCGTGATCCATAATCGTTGATCACTGCTCTGATTAATCATCAATTCAATCGTACTTTCGCCAATCCCGAAATAGGATCAACAGAATTTAACAATATATATTCTCGATTACTCACGACGAATTTCGAGAATTTTTCGACGCGCGCTCGGCGAGAATTCCTTGAAACTTTAATTGCGAAAAATTGAATTTAATTACGAATCGCGCGAATACACGAAGGGAAGAAAATAAAAAAAAATATCGGTATGGCATTTATCCGCTTCGTCATAGCAATCATCGTTCAATTTCCTGTTTTCTGTTCGCTCACCGTTGGCGGTTTTCGGATTTTTTGGGAGCGCAATGAAAAATAGCTATCAAATTGGCATACGTCTCGAATTATATCGAAATACTATCGGCGACTCGGGGATATAACAGTTTTCGAGTTTGACGAATAAAAATTTCAAATCTCAAATAATTCTTATTTTCGCGAATACGATTCTTTCAAAATTTTCGAAATTGCCGGTAACTTTCAAATGTATACAATGTCACGTTTCATCTTTTCTTTTCGATTTCTTAAAAGATCATTCAATATTATAGATTCGCCAAATTATTACGATACCAATAGAATATTATGAGAAGTTGCCCAAATGATTTGCTCTTGTTACGAAAAAGGGAAAACAAAAAGAAACGTCGTATCCCGCATGGAAATTTTCTGGGATCTGATTGGAATTTATTCCGATTTTTCGAAAAAATAATGAATTCTGATTGGAAAATCTATGAAGATTCGGATTGGAAGTGTAATGTTTCAAAAATGCGATTCTAAATGGAAAACCTAGACAGATTCCATTTTCTCTGTCCAATGTTTGTCCAAAGCACAATTCTAAATGGGAAACCAGACCAGAAACATTTGCAATGTCCAGCATGAAATCCAGTTCTTTACTTTTGCACCGAGCTGTACTATTAAATATGAATCAAGAGTCTATTTTAGCGAATTGAGAATAATTTCCCTCTAGACCGGTCACTTGTCACAGTGAGCGCAGCGCGGAAATTTCCGCGTTGTTTACGGAAATTCAGGCACGTTCTCCGCCGGCGAGTCGTAATTCAGGATTCCCTCCTTGCATTATTTATGCTCACATGCAAATACGTGTGCTCATGCCCGCTCGTTCGCTCGCTCGCGCTCGCGTTATGAATGACCCGCGTGATACGTGCTAAGTACCGTTGAGGGCGGAAAATAATCCGCTTCTGCAAATCGCATTTATGCAGAATTAATTATCAATGGAGGATGTCCGAGGAGAACATTTTAACCACTTGCTACACGTCTGACCGGCATTGAAGGGACGTGTCCCTCTGCGTGTCTTAAGATTAGTGTCGCGTATCACAAGAATGTACTTCGATTAAATCGATATTTCGACAACACCGGCGTACTGTGCGGACACGTCCCTACAAAATGCCGAGAAGGAAAACTTCGGAAATCCGCCTCGGTTGCCTTCGCAACGTCGTCGTCGTCGAGACGTCGCGACGCGTGTGACCGTGGATGCGTCTCCAAAAAAGTAAATAAGCCGTGAAATATTGCACGCTCGCGACGAAGCGGGAGGGCGAGGGTAGCCCTATTATCCATCACGGGGACTGTCACAACCCCACATGGGATAAAGTCGACGACGTATTTCGCTGAGACGTTAGCCCTCGATACGTCGAAGAGCACGACGACGTTCGATTACGTCCCCTCGGTGCCGAGTAAAAAGGACCCAACGCGATTCCGCACATAATCTCCCTCTCTATCCCCCTTTCTTCTTCCCTCACCCCGTGCGTCTGGAGAATTTTGAGGAAGAAGACACGAAAATTCTCAAAGCGCGATGTGTATGAGTGTCCCGTAATAGTATGTTAGTCGAACCATACGATCAACTTGCTTATTACTTCTTATTGCTGATTATTCATATAAAATCTTTAAATAAAAAGGAATAAAGTATATCAAATAAGACGAAATAAATACGATATATATACAATAACAGTATAACTAGAACATATCGGTAAATTAAGGATTGCTGTTTATGTGTTCTGACAGCGATCCGCAGGGGAATCAACGGTCAGATAATCGGTGTCCAGATAATTGACGTTGTACTGCATTACTTATTGCAGTTACTATTTAATCAAATCGATACTTTGGTGCAGGGAAAGAGGGATAGAGAGAGAGAGAGAGAGAGAAAAGGTGAGAGAGGAAACATGTATCGTATATATAATATGACGTCTATATAAATATTTTATGTAACATTCGATTTTTACTTAATTTTAATAGCCAAATAATGAGTAGTAATATACATAGTGTTCCAAACCTCTCGGTTTCCGTAGTGTATTAAATCTCTAATTCCTCATTATTACGAATTTTTGCAAAATGGTACATGACTTTTCTGTCTTCAGTTTTACCCGCTCTACCTGCATATTACAGGAACCAAAAACGATTTAGAACGATTGAATACGTGAATTCGTACTAAAATTATTAGTTGACACGATGTAAGATGAATTGTTTGTTATTCTGTAACGGAAAAAATCTCAACATGACGAAAAAAGCGCGATTCGTTGAAAGCGTTAAACGAAAGAGCAGTTTTGCTGACGAAGTTCGATACTTCTCGACTTCAAAAGGTAACTTTTACGATGCATCTTGCTAGCAAGTTTTTCTTGGTGCCTTTTACGAGCTCTCTGAACGTCGCTCGGAGTATTCGACATCCCTAATGGAGGGTGACATGCGCTGGCAGATATTTAATGGTCCAGTAGTTGCGCTTTTAAGAATCTAAGCGAAACCACCTTTTCAACTCGAAGAAATATCGAGTGCGAATTCTCGATTCGAGATATACTTTCCCTCATACCAGTCAGTATTCTCGAGAAATACGAGACAAAATATTTCTACGTTGTAATTCTTAGTTGTCGCGATAATATTTAAAAAATATAAGAACGCGATACAAAAATTTCTCTTTTACACGAGACGACTTTTGAAGGGTATTTCTTGCTTGTGCTCCAACAAATACTTCGTTTATATAACTTTATTTTATCGACATTTTATATAACGTTAAAGTCGACGTATTGATTTCATGTTAGGAAAGTATCCTATATTATCAACTGTAGAAGTGCGAAACATTTTCTTTATCTAGTTACGATAATTTTACATATTCTGTTATCTTTTCTGGACTATATGTTTTTAATACTTTTTTGTTATATTATAAAGCTTTGCGATCGTTTGAATTGTCTAAAGTAAATTTTACATTACTTCCTGTAAATCATATTCTACTGACCTCCGATAATTTCTCCGTGATTTTATGAAAATCTGACATTTCTTAAAATAGAAATTTTCTGGCATTTCCTCGAATACATCAATATAAAATAAATTGTTAACTTTTGTTAGCTTATGTTCATTTGATATAAACTATATGATATAGCTGCTTTCAAACCGACATTGATGTACATATTCAAAAATCGAGAAATACAATTCCCATGCCTATATATTTGTACTATTAAAAAACTGAACTATGAATGATACGATTGTCAAATATAAATTGTTTAACTCGTAAATCATTAAATGTCTGCTAACTTCATAAATTAATCACGAAGTTCAGCCCTTTGTAAACTTAATCGAAGCTCAAAAAAAATAGGCCGAAAAGGACTAACAGGATAATAAAGCATTCAACGTATTCGACAACAGGAAAACGAGAGGACAAAAACAGATGAAACAAACAACACATCTAAGCGTCTAAAATCAGACATCTATTTTGAAGAGAAGATATCACTAGAGTATATTAGTTACACTCTGGTTCAGGAAAGAACAAATAAGCAAAGACTTCATAAGAGGAATGTTGAAAAAAAAAGAAAAACGAGAGATAGTCGATTAAATACGTCGCATATTTATTAAAACAACAAGACGACGACGACGACGATAATTGCTTAATCCTCTTCCTCTTCCGGCGCGGCACCACTACTTCCCTTCCTCAGGTTCTTCCTCTTGACACGACCAGGCCTGCCGCCACCGAAGGGCGATTTGAGCGAGAAGTCGATGTGTTTCTGCGAATCCAGTCGCACGATGAACGACGGAATATTCACTACCTGCTTGCGCACACTGCAAAATGGAGAAACCGCCATTGTACCACTGGCTTCCTTTGTACGCGAAAGCTGTTAAACCGTCACATTGACGATTCTATAGTAGAAAGGCGAAAACTACCGCAACTTCTTCGTATTCCCTGTTTCTTTTTCTGGACGAGCACGAGAGATATCAAGAGAGTGCAACAGACGTTAAGTGCCGATGAACGACACTTAAGTGGCCTGCGCGAAATAAAAGTATTTCGTTAAGTTAACGATTGTGAGTTCAAATTCCAGACCCAACATGTACGGTCAACCGTGACTAATCGACCAAGTGTCATCGTCCTGATACCTGAGCAATAGAATTCGTTCGTCAACTGACTTTGTGAAATTCATCTCAAATGTTAACACTATTCAAATTCATGAGGGAATTTCTCATTTGGATTGTAAAACTCTCGACATATGGACATAAATATAGAATAACAAGATCCAGTTTCTTGCACTTTGAGCATTTTTAGAAGTATTGCGGATAAAATACGACAAATAATCCTCAAACTGCGAACTCTAAATATATATCACTTTAAGATATTATAGTGTCCTTTATTTTGATTATTGAGTTGGATTAAATTTATGATATAGCAAATTAATAAAATATCGTTAGCTAACGCAAAACATTTAATAAGAACGTTTAAGATTGTAGCGTGGTAAGAACCCGACAAAGGAACCAATCTCTCCGTCGGTGATTAAACCAAGCTTTACTTTCGCCTTAAAGATTAGAAATGAGCCGTAAGAGTAATTCAGCCATTTCTTGCCCAGTTTTTAAGGCTTTCGACTTTACGCTTCTAAATTATGCAAAAAAAAAAAAATGGAAAAAATTTCTGGTCAAGCCTAAATTGGAAAAAAAAAACGTCCCATTTCACAAGTTATTCTTTCCTTAACACAATAGATGCATATTTCCTCTATTTGCCTTTCTATAATCAAGATGTATTTTCTACCGGTGTTTTTATTTCTTTACGCAGTTCATTTCATAAAATATACACAAGATATATATATATGCATTTCATAAAATATATTCTACTTTCTTTTCAACGGTGACATATTTTCTCTCTCAGTAATAAAAACGTATTATTATTACTTACCGAATGTGTCGCTGACGAATAAGAACGCGGGCGTGATGAATGGACTTGGCTAGACCCATTTTAAATACTTGAGTCTGCAGACGTCGCTCCAAGAAGTCCTCAATCTTCAAGCCCAACACATAATCGAGCTTCATGTGACCTTCGTTCAACACACCGATCCTCACCAGACGACGCAACAGAGCATTTCCTGAAAAGTATTTCTATGTTATTACAAATATTTCTATACTGATATATCACTGGCCCTTTTCAGATTTTTAAACAAATATTTCAGTCTACGCTTTCATCTACAAAAATATTCAGACAAGAGGTGTCAGAAAAAAGTGCGTAATCATCACATTCTCTCTCATTCCGTGTGAAATTTTACATTAAGAAATTTTGTCTTGCTTGTAGAAAAAATTTAGTAATAATGGTAATATTGATAAATATAGTGAAAGGATTTTTTTAAGAAAATATAATTTGCATGCATAAAATATAATTTGCATTTCACTAACCTTCGAAAAGACGCTTCGGGTCTTTTTCTTCCAATGTGAGCAACTCACGAGCAGCTTTGCGGATTTTAGCCAGGGTATACTTTACCCGCCATACTTCGCGCTTATTACGGAGTCCATATTCTCCGATGATACGTAACTCTTGGTCCAAACGAGCTTTCTCGTATGGTCTCCTGGGAGTGACATAAGTCTTAGAGAAAACTGACGGGATCCTTCCGTTAACCATGTTGGAAGATCGTTACCTGACGAGCGACAATTTCCAAATTATACATGGTATATGTCGAAGTAGCTTTTTTAAAATATTTCAAATGCTTTCTTCTAAAAATGTTTTATTGCTTTCAAAGTTAATTTTGCCAAATACTGGAAATGTTTAATATTCTTCAGACCGATTTTCAGTGACTTATTGGTTGCTATCAAACATGCAGCCTATTGTTAAAATTACATCATAACTATTTGTTATATATACACAAAATTGAAACATCATTATTATTTAAAAAATCTTATATTTTATTTAATGACAAAAACAAAATTATCTGAATAGAAACTCCTGACCCAGATCATATACGACACGCGGCACGTGTTAAAGGAAAAAGCAAGATAACAGGTTAGTTCTTAGGATTACTTTACATTTGGATATATTTTCCAATGCTTAACATGAAATATATGTATTCCTGTATTCAGGAAGGAAAAAATTAATATTATAAGTGTAACTGGTATTGATGAGAAAAAACACTTCGGATAATTCCGATAAATCTAGAATATTCGCTACATGGTCGCCATTTTATGAAGAACGAAAGACACGACAGTAGAAATATTGCAAAATTTATATGTGAATTAACTATTCACGAATTTCAGGATGATATTGTAACAAGTTACATCACTTGAGATCCTAATAATGCGATTATTCGTTAATATCATACTTACTTCCTGTCGTAAAAAGAACGACCTCAGGAAACAACCTTTCCGCTTGCTGATTATGATAGAAATGGCCGAAAGCGCACAGTGACGTGTATGGACAGGATCTACGCATGTCTCCGCGCATGCGTGCAAAATGTGTTCTCTAGAGTGCATCCATTTGGCGCTCGCGTCGACAAGATCAAGAAAATACCTAACATAAAAAATGCAACAGATGTAACAGTATGGTGGACACGAGCAAATTTTATGCAATCCACTATTAATTAATATGAATATTGCGCTATATTAATATTGATTTCTCTATTTAATTGAATCCTAACTTAATTTAAACGCTTGCTGAGGCCACTAAATTGTGGCGTTTGTTACACTTTTCATTTTTTACATACTTCTTTGAGAGCATATTCACTTTGCTCTTTATTGCGCAGACGCAAGCGGAAACCGGAAATTGAAATAAGTTCAGATGGTTCGGAGATCCTTTGTTAGATGTCATTAGTTTCTAGTTTTGAGTCTGTTCATTTATCAGCATTTTCTGTACTTGCAATACGAGACGAGAATACGTGATTCTGTTCTTGTGCAAATATCGAAGAGAATAGAATACTGTTAACAATATCAATGAAAAAAATGGAACATAGCTTGAGATAATGTAGTATCGTCTTTACAATCCAATGAATATTCACGAAATTTATACTGATTTGTAACCGTGGACTAGTGTTAAACAATTTGCGTCCTGTTCTGCAGATAAACAAATCAACAGATACGTCATCCGTGCCTTGATCGGCGCAAAATAATGATTTCGCGATCGCAGTCCGCTAACCTTATCAGTCATTCGCGATTTTTCGACCGTCGTGTGACCTCCGTTCTTACGCGTTTCAAATTTCGATATAAGTTATTATTTTGTTTCCTGTTGTTTATTGACGTGGAAATTTCGCTGATAGACGATATTTGATCATATAGGATAAGTTCGTGATGAATAAATCGGTACCAATTTGTTATTACGCATTTACCTTACTAAATACACATATATATATATACTAAATACACATATATATATACATATGTAGATGTATGTATATATAAGTATTTTCCACATATTACAGCATGGAAATTTAAAACTTTCTAAGATATATCGATTCTAAAAGCCACTTTCCTATACTTACTTTTTTGTTTTTACTTTCTCTTCAAAATCTGGACATATAAGTCTTAATAAATTCCTTGTTTTCTTTTGTTCTTAACCAGTTGAATTTCTTGAGAAGAAAAACCTAATCGGTAATTCAGATAATTCTACCGAGATATTGAAAAGATATGATAAAACAAGTATAGGAGGAAATAGTCTCGTGCAAGAGAATAAAGTACATCACGTTTTCCAGTATAAAGTCACGTTTCAACAACTGATAGCCTGGAAACTTTTTACTGTTTGAATATGCCCTGATATGCCCTGATATGCCCTGATATGCAGGGTCACACGATTGACCTCGATACTGGTGGAACAACGATAAGGAAGGATGTAAGTAGAGTAACCGCACGTTCGAAATGTGATTCAGTATCTTGCCAGTGCCAAAGACAGTTCTATAGAGCTAGAATAAAAATCAGTGAATGTTAAAAAGAGGATGAACGGATACTGAGACTTGAATAACAATTATTAAGATTCTGGAACAGTGAATAAAATTTTAAGCACCAATTTACATATGTATATTTGAAATTTAATAATACTGGGCAATTGAGTAAAATTTAGTAGCGAATATAAATTTGTAAATCACACACATATCATGGATGTCCTTAGCACTGTAAGTATAACTTCACTTATAGATATCATTAGAAACTGTGAACAAATTATTTATTCTTAACTAAATAGTATTCTTTAATGAATGGAAAACAGAGCTTATAATTGTATTAAGAAAATATGAACAAATATAGGTTAGAGAAATTTAACATGAATATAGTTATAAAAACTGACTCAGTCAGTAGTTCTCAAGACTCACTTTTCATGAAATCGTTGCATCACATATGTGACGCTGATCTCTTGAAATCATTACACATGTATGGTGTAATGATTTCAAGAGATCAGCGTCACATATGTGATGCAACGATTTCATGAAAAATCACCATCACATTTGAAAGCAAATTTTTATTTTCTACATTATCTACATTGTCATATTTATTCATCCTTATCAGGCCTATTTTATATAATTGCATAGAAAAATATATATGTGAGGTGGTTTATGAAGAGTTTTCGAATATTCCAATAGCGAATATGTTCAACAAACAAACAATATTTAGTCTGTAAGTCTGTTCGTTTTCGCTGCACCGCTGAACTAGTTTAAGAAATTTATACACACTATAACATGAGAATTTTATATGTACGCTTCGTGCACTTACTAATATATACATTTCTTGAACTAGTGCAGTTTAGCTAAAAAGAACAGACATACTGATTAATATTGGGTGTAGCCATTTCCAAAATGTTACCATAACTTTTAATTGCTGTTAGAGTCAGTTTCACCTCCGGATAAATTTATCTAATGGATAAATATCTGAAGAGCATCCCTGTACAGAATTAAAATAAATTATAAAAAGAAGAAGAAATTACTACTATATTATATTGTTGTTCAATAGTGTTTTTCAGTATACCAGCAATTTCTTTGTATTCTTATAGTTTATTTTCGTATAGAACGTCCTTCAAATATTTGTTCACTAGATAAATTTACAACCGGCCCTTAGTCTTACAATTAATGTTTATACCTTATCTCCTAACTGAACAAAAAATATATTTAAATCTCAATATTTATAGTATAAAAATGAGCTAAATGGATTTAGCTTTTATAAGATGATAATCAAAAATCCTATTTTCTCATTGCAACTATATTAATAACTCAATTACAATAATACAAGGAGTGAATCTTGTAAAGTCTCGTGTTTTCCTTTACATTAAATGTCGAGATAGATTTTTCAAATGTCATTATTTATAATTTTGAAAAATTACAGTTTAATAAAATTTATGTTATATAAAAGATTAGAAACTTTGAAACAATTCGCTTTTTATCGTACTTAATGATTATACATTCTATACATTGAGTGCAAAATGTATAAGTTGAAAGCAAAATGTTATTGTAAATCTATAGATCTATAGATCATAAAAATATAATTGAAGTTTTATACATATATCAAATTTTCCAATCCGTTTTATCTTTGTAAAATTTTCCTAAAGTCGACGATACGCGTGATATCTTTGTGAGATGAATAAAAATTGTTTTTAAAATAAAATTTGCTGATATTTTCCGCTATTATCATTATATACTAGCTCACATCGTGAAAGAATAGTCGTCGAGATTCATAGGTCTCCCGTGAAGAAAGTTGATAACAGGAAAAATGAGGTGATAAGGCGTCGACTATTTCTTAAAAAAAGATAATACTTAATATGCACAGGCGACAGATTTACGCGAATAGTTCGTCATCAATCTGATGAAATTTTATTTTTACGCCTACTTATCTGTCGAAAAAAAAAACAAGAAGACAAACAGATCCCCTGCGAAGCAAAATGTCCGTGATAATGCGAGAGTCATGCAATGCTCCACTGAAAAACATCACGCGAGCTACTAAGAAACACGCGAGTAATTAATATATCGAATTCTCGGGGAAAAAATAGCTGTTTGTCGCTCAACGATAACCCCGGGTGTCCCGTGTCAGAATGATAAGCATTACACATATGTATGCGAATATCGTGCGCTTGGCCGAGATTGCTCGTCTCACGTGAGCAAACTCGTGACATGACAACACGCGTATTCTTTTATCGCCTGTTCACGCATTCGCGATAATTGAGTCCCATATTCCAATGTAAAATCCAATGCAACTCGGACGCCTGTAGCCTTCGAATAATGTGAATTTTCCAAAGATTTCTTATTAAACACTAATTGATTAAGAAGAGCGTCTCTCTTAGAGCTTTCTCGAAAATTGTTCAATATTTGCAGTATCCGATCTTGAAGTCGTTCCTTGCGGGATCTTTCTCCGGGACTTTCTCCACAATCCTCTTCCAGCCGCTGGATTTGGTGAAGACTAGACTTCAAAGCAGAGTCAATGCTCATTATGCGTAAGTTCGATCATTCAATCTCGGTCACTGCAATAAAATCAAATGTTCAACTTTCCGTTTCGAATTTATGCAATTGCGTACAACTTGGATTTGGGATTCTCAAGTTTAAATCGAGTTGTGCTAATAATGAAAAGTTTCAAATCATTCTTAAGAATTGTTTGCTTAACGTTTGTGTAATGTCTTAAAATCACAGGTTTTATTAATTTAAAATAGATTAATAATAATTTTGTTGTTGAAAATTAAAAAACAATATTTTCCTAATTAGATTTATGTCGCTTAATTTCTTGATTTCGAATACTTTTATCTGAAACGATTACCTACTAATTCTCCGGATCTTTCGTGCAGAACGCCAAAAAGTGGGATGTTGGGAACAGTGGCGCACATCGTGCGGAAGGATAATGTCTTCGGACTCTGGAGAGGGATGACACCGGTAAAACATCATACTAAGAATTTAAGAAAACTCACAATCGAATGTCAATTCATATTGATGAAGGCGATCGTATGTTATATTTGCAGTCCATTACGAGAGTAATTCCTGGTGTGGGCCTGTACTTCTCGTCATTGCACTGGTTGAAACACACCTTTGGTCTGGAGGAACTGACGGCCCTGCAAGCTATTTCCTTGGGTATCACTGCGCGATCCATGTCTGGCGCTCTACTAATTCCCATCACAGTCGTGAAAACGCGATTTGAGGTATAATTAATGAATAAGAAATAAAGTAATTCACGTAGCAACAATAAGGAACACAATAGCGAAATAACAATGAGGCGACGTAAATTAAAGAAAGAAATTGTGTTTTCAGAGCGATGTTTATAAGTACAACAGTATTAGCGAGGCCTTGAAATTGATCTATAAACAAGAAGGAATGAAAGGCTTGTCAAGTGGTTTGGTACCCACATTACTACGAGACGCTCCTTACAGTGGTCTATACCTTATGTTTTACACTCAATTAAAAAAGATGGCTGTTAGCACAGGTATTCAACCGTGTCTTAACCTAGTATCAAACACCCAACAAAATGATTAGAATAATTATTTCTAAATATATATCTATATATATATTAACAGAATTTTCACACAAAAATATTATGTTTTACATGTCGTACTTAGACATTACTTTTTGACACATATATTGTATATTATGCGTGTGAGAAAATTTAAATTTGTTAATCTTATAGGATGTACGATTACAATCTATTATAGAATACTGATATTGGTTCAGATCTTGAAATTAAAAAATTTATTTGTATTCACAAACTTCATTAAGTAAAGGTATATCGTATCTTGTTTGTAGAAAAGACAGTCGACAAGTCGTCCATACCAGTCCACTTCAGCTGCGGAATTTTAGCTGGCATTATGGCTTCTATAGTAACGCAACCGGCAGACGTTATCAAGACCAAAATGCAACTGTATCCAAACGAATTTAACGGCATTTATCATGCGACATTGTTCATTTATAAAAAATACGGTATCCTAGGGTATTTCAAGGGTATCGTGCCCAGAATGCTAAGACGAACTCTAATGACCGCTATGGCTTGGACAGTGTATGAACAGGTAAATTCAAATATTAGATCAAATAATCAAGTAAAGAAGTAGTAAAATGACGAAATGATCTTCGAAGTTAGTTGAGGAAACATTTTTAAACGTTGCCATCTTCAGATTCTTTGCAGAAACTGTCTTTATTATTATAATTTGTTGTTACTAAATGCTAAAACATATTCTTTATAAGAATATACGTTTAATATTGATACTTGTTTCTGTTAAAAAGAATGAAGAACATTTCGCATATCTTCAAGAAAAACGACAATAATAATTAATGAGCGATATTTTATTGTATTGTTTAGGTAACGAGGTTGATTGGACTGAAGTAAACGCACTGATGCAGATCTATTTTTATACCAGAACAGAATTACCATGTACAGTATTAATATAAATTATGTTCAATTGACCACGTATTTATTACATTATATAATAAAAAAAAATGGAATATTTTAAATATACAAACAATCCTTTATATCGTTACTTATTCTTCACTGCACATTAACATTTAGTCGCACATTTAATATTTTTTAACACATTGCGTACGGCACTCTACTCGCTCAACACGACAATTATATACACATTTATTCGTTAACCATTTGTTTTGAGAATGCGCGAGACTTCGTTACCCTGGTGACGTAACAAAAAAATCTATTTTGAATTCCTTAAGTCATTGATTAAATCGAAGAAACCTGAAAACGAGATATCTCGTCGCCCGGCCACAACGTTCGGCTTACTAAAAACGAGATTTCTCGTCACCCGTACGCAATGTGTTAATAATCATCCAAATTTCACTAAGTTAACTCGCGAAATTCCAATTTAAAAAATCTGATGTGAAAGGTCAATAGGTTTCGGCTATTTTAAACATCTTTTCAATTAGAATTACCCAAAATAAAAAAGAAAGGACCAATGAAATTTCGTTGCGACATTGTTTTATTAATTTCAAATAACAATCTTACGAGTATTACAATGTATACTATAGACAATTTACCTTGCTGATTGATCTGTTTATGTATAGACGGCCTAAAAGTAACAATCGCTCGTATCATAAGTTAAGCCAATCCCGATTTCTCTGGTGTTGACGCATATTCTTTCCTTCGTTTGTCTTCTCTTTCTCTCCCACTCTTTCACCACCGTTGAGATTATGCAAAATCTACCTTAACGATATGTTAAGCGACGTCTTACATAATCTCCAGTTATTTCTTCTCGCGTCTTCTTTCTGAAAGTAGAGAATCCGAGTTTTAACAAGAATGTCTCCAGATCACGATTCGATGTGGTCAAACATTGTGCATCATATGCCAGCTTCGCTGGTAAAATCTTGTCTCTCTGTTGTGTTTGTTTAATAAGCGCACGAGGTCCTTATATTAGATGTTATTAATTGTGTCGAACGACATCGGATACGGCTGATGCGCCTGATCACCTAACTCTTATTGTCAGATGAGGTAATGACTTATGGTGAAATAATTGCGAAAATTTTTAAATAATTAAGTTTTCTTTTCAAGGAAATTGTTGCGAAGATTGTCGCAAAAAAAAGAAAAGAAAGTCAATGTTTGCTCTTAGAGATATCGTATTATTTGTCTCCTTCCTTCGTTAATGTTCATTTTCTTGCGTGATGAGGAAATGGTATTTTCGTATTTTCAAGAGAGAGTGAAGATGTATCCTTTTGTGATGATAAAGATAGTGCGGTTCATTAATGTTAGTCTTACTTCCTATGTAAAAAAATGATAAATGTCTTAGTTTCTTCTGTTATTGTCTCGGAGTACGCGAAGCGAGATTCGGTCACTCTGTGCACTGGAGACACAAGAATTTCTGCACTGTCTAAAGTAACAGGCCTAGAATCGTTAGGTCCCTAGTTCGCCGACTCGAAGAAAACATATTCGAGAACAGAAGCAAGGGGAATATTCTCCTGGGCAGGACATGTGTTGGTATTATCATTCCGGCATAAATACCTCGTCAATTGCGTGGCAGAAGCTAGAGCTTCGTATAGTCACAGTCACACGTTTGCAGGGCGCACTCGTAGTTGTGCACTCGTGCATTTGCAGTCGTGGACGAAGCTCTACGAAGCGGGCACTGAGAGCTGTGTCCCCTCCACACTAAATCACTAAATCTCTTTCTCTCTCTCTCCCTCTCTCTTATCGACGCGCGAGCAATACCGCACTTTTAACGAACCTACGAAAGACAGTTCCATGCCAGAGAAGCAGGGAGGAATAAGGTCCAAAATTATCCTTTTATTCAACGGGGAATACGGGCTTACGTATAAGCTAGAGAACGAAGCGAATCCAATGGGAGCTCTCGAAATTCGACTGGAATTCTGGAAACAATGCGTTAAGTGCACGTTATGATAAATAAAAAAAAAATGTACTTTTATACAAATTTGTTTTATTTGGAAGTAGATATATATAAACAATATGGGTCTACATTATCTTAAATATGAGTGTCAACCTGTACACTTATTGAGGCTCATTTTAAAGTTCATCTTAAAACCATGTATCCAAGAATCCAGATGAGTTCACGGGAGTTCATCTCCTGGAAAAAAGGCAACTTTTTGGACCTACATCCATCTGCTTCTCGGATATAGAATTATAATCGGTGAAAGCAAGCGTAGGTATACCTTCTCCCAGCTTGCTTGGTATACAAAGAAAGTGCACGGAATGTGATATCAGTTAGTCAATTGCGTCTCTGTCAGTTGGTGCATCCAGGAGCTACAACCGCTTATTGAGCGCTTAGTGAGCTCTTGTATTGATTGGGGTATACTTTTAGATCTATACGAATGTACCAATCGAATTTAAGAACTCACTCAACGCTCAGTGAGCAGTTGCTGCTGAATGCACCAAGTGTTGTAGTAGTAACCTATTATTATCGCAACCACTTTAACAAATAATTAATAATCACGACTGAGAGAAGTAACTATTAATCAAGTAACCGTCACACACACAGAGATTAATCATTAATCGGTATTGTTTCTGCAATTATTTTAACATCTGATCAATGTGATGATGATCAATTGTTAATGAACGATGGGTTTATTCAAAACACTCTTTGTAGTAATAATTCTCTTTAAAATCACTGCAACAATATGATTTTTTAAAAAGTTTTAAAGAGTCTGACTTTTTAAAGAGTTCAAACTTTTCTTGTTTTTAAAGTTAATACTGCTCGCTAAAATAACTCGCTTTTCTCAGAAAAGGGAGTTAAATCATTGTTGCATTGAATTCATTGTTTCATTATCTACGATACTACCTAGTGATAAGTATCAAGATAAGACTTGTCGGTCTGTCGACTTCACCATCTCTCACACATCACACACTTGATAGCACCATCAATTACGAGTCGCCTTTTTAACGATAAGGAGAAACGTGACAGAGGCCAACGGTGTCAGATCAACTTCTTCATCGAGCTTCACCTCGCGAGAAATGACTAATCATGACGGAAAGTCAGATAGAGAGAGGCGGAGAGAGATAGAGTGTGTTTCAGAGAGAGCGAGAGACGAACTTGCTGTGTGACTTACGCGGCACTTCAAACATCACAGATTATATTATCATGTATATGTATTATGTGCATCGGAATGGCAACTCACCTGGATCGAAAGAGTACCTGTACAGTAATTGAGACGAATATGGTTATATTGTTTGGTGCATACCTGGCTTACTTCTCACTCACTAACCAATCAAGAGAAGTTACTTGTGACTTCGGCTTCGCGAGCGGTGTCGGCGCCGACTGTGATGGCTGGTACCCCGATGATCGCGATTTCCTAGAATCGTTGCGGTTTTCATCATATTTTATTATCAAAAGTGAGTCAATCTTTCGACACGCGTAGCGATCAATTTAGCAATTGCATTGCGTCAGAGTCTACAAAAATTGTTATTTTACCTCGGTTGTGACGTCGGTGACTATCCTCATCACGGTGACGTTCATGTTTATCTCGCGACCTACTTCTACTTCTATGTCCGGAATTTCTGTGCAAAAAAACAATATCTACTTCAGACAGATCACTCTCCTGACTTCCTCGGGTTTGGTATTTTTACCATTAAAAACGATATATAATGAGCAGCATATATAGCGTGAGTACATTTTCATTAAAATAATAGGAAATCTTAATAAAATTTGTGTACAAATATATCTAACAGAAAATTGAATCAATTTTTTTCAAAATCTTATTCAAAAGCATGAAATTTCAAAAACTGATTTCCGTCAAATATCAGTCCATTTGCGGTTTAGTAAATGGTCTGAATCGAGATTTAGTAAAATTTTTACCTATGACTGCTCGAGTCACGGCGTTTATCATCATCGGTACGTCTACGACGTTTGTCCCTTTCTCTGTCACGATCTCTATCTCTATCACCGTCTCTTCGCCGCCTGTCTAGTTCTTCATTCGCACGTGCTCTTTGTTTTCGCTCTTCCTCCCTCTTCTGCTCTTTCTCATCACGTGCTTTTTCACGCTTGCTCTAAAAAAAATGGTTATTGATTAGCATCAAATGGTAGAAAAATATTGTAATAATTTGCAACAAACTTTATTTGATTTCGAGAGCTGACTTTATTTATTCGTTCGTCTCTGCGATATTTAACGTTGTAAAACGACGGACGATGTTTACCATAATTTCTTGAAGGGCGCTCTTCAATCTCGCATAACCCACATGCTGCTTTCCCATCAGATGATCATCAATTCGCTGCTGAGCGTCGCCAACAATTAAAAATGCGCCGCAAACATCACACACCTCCATCTGCTTTTCCTGCGCTGCTGCTAATTCAGCGGTCTGCAAATCAAAAATCAAAATTGTATAATTAATTATAGTGTTATACATTTTTAATACTTAATCATATATGAAAAACCATAAATTGTTGATTATAATTCTAATTGTGTCAATTGTATAGATCATAATTGCGATTTGTACAAAACTAATATACTACACACTTACCTGATTATAATGACTGTTGTCGTTGGACTTTTTTAGGGTCTCTCGTTCTTCTTTTAGTTGATCGCAGAGGCGCATCAAGCCTTGCGCTTGTTCAACATTGCCCTGAATTCCACTTTGTTCTGCCTCATCCACTAATTTATTTATTTTCTCTGTTAATAAAGCAATCTGTTCCTCGTTTTTTTGCGTTTGAGCTAGTGTTAATGTTGGCTGTATAAGATAATAAAATAAATTACAATCACATGTTTCTAACACCCCATTGGTCACAACCTGGAACTTACCGCTTCTGTTCTACCGATTAAGGCCAATCGCTGCTTCCCTTTCACAATTTTACGTTCTACCTCATTTAACATACTCTGGCAATACCTGATAAATTCATCCTCATATTGCTGCTTGCGGTATGAAGGTGGTGCCTTTTCAAACAATTCTCTAGCCTCATCATCATGCATTCTGGGACAAGCTCCTAAATCAGCTCTTGTGTTGACAAACAAATCATGGGGACAGAACTTCACAAGATATAGCTTGCAGAACTAGAAAAAAGTAAGAATTAGCAAACCTATTTTATTCGCTTTCTATATTTTACAGATGTAATTAAGAAATAATTTTTTTTTTTAATTTGTACTCTTGACATAAGTAATAGTTATCAATTATTACAATGGGAAACTATTTTCATTTTACAATTTTTTTAAACGAATTTTAGCGACGGTAATAAATAAGATTTCTTTTATCTCGATCCATTGCTTTCAATCTTACAAGAAGTTATTTCTTACACCGATTACCTTACAATTGTCCCATATATTTAATCTTCAGTAACTTTTAGTTCTGAATTACTTTTTTAATTTAACTTAAAGAGTTAACACAAATTATATATCTGTACCTGAGATTTTCCTTTTTATCTTATTTTTAATTGTATGAACTCTCGATACATCTTATACATTTATATCTTTATGTCTTGAGAAACTTGAAAGAACGTTTAAATCTTCCATTTTGAAAAGTGTCAACGCCAGAAATTTCAAAAAGTCTCCCACGGGCAACTTATCTTTTCCGCGATAGCTCACCTCAGGATCTTCCCAATTAAGTTCTTTGGGCTTTTCATTGGGTAGGACGTTCCTGTTCCTACCCATAAGCTCATCGAGCAATGCGGCAGCCGCGGCTGCGGCCATTTTGTTTTAGTCGCACTGATCGTGACGATCCACGAGTTAAATCCGCACTGCGGGAAACCTCAGAATCGCAATGTGCAGCGGAGAAATACTCTGAACGAGACACAGAATGTGATGAATAAACTATACAACTTGAACGAAACACACAACGACAAGGCACATACGACCGGGGACGACCGTGACAATCGTAAAACGGAGCAACGAGCGTAAGTGCCAAACTCGCCGTCAGCGGCGCTGTCGTAGTAAACAATGACTTCCGAATCAAGTTAAATATTAAATCTATTCTTGTTAACATTTTTCATACATTTCGAACATACAAAGTATAATATATACACAACTAAAGAATAAGAAAAAGAAGAAATGGAAAATACCAAAAGCGCGCAAAAAGTGCGATTAAGAAAATGTAGCTTGAATTTCAACTATTAAAGCCCGTTTACACGTATCCATGCGATCTCACTGATCGTATCGTCGAAAAAATAAGCCAATTGCATATTTAATATAGTATTTTCACCAATATTTGTCGCTGACTCATGAATGCGGCTTACGGAAGTACGTCGTCACGTGAAGTTGGCCGCACAACACGACAGCGGGCAAACGAGAGAGAGAGAGAGAGAGAGGTCGTCGTCATCCGTGGTTGCGTTCCGGTCGGTTCCGGTGACTGTCAGTGCGAGTGTCGGATGGTGGTGTCGGCCGTCGTCCAACACCCGTTTGGAATTCGCCAACGGGCGATGCGATAAATCGTCGTCTTCGAGAAAGCCGCGTTCTCGCGGTTCTATTCTACTGTCGCCTCGAAGAATCAGATGTAGCTGTCATCTTCTCGCGCAGGTGAATATTTCACACCTGGGGATGTTTACTCGACCTTACCTGTCCTTACCTTACCTTACCTCACCTCACCGATGTCTTTGTGATATTCGTAGATTCGTAGGAAAAGGTTATGTGGCAATAGAATCTGAAGGTGGTGAAAGATGCTGGCGACCAGCCAGGTGGATATTCGATATAGCTACATATACAGCTGCTCATTAGCTTGCTCCAGTATTAATGCATTGACTAACAAGCACTAAACGAGCATAGATTTCCAGCTGCAGTGTTGGGAGTGGTGACGATGCAAAATAATTCTAAAACCAGAGAGATGTTTATCGTACGAGCTTTGGAAAAAATACTAGCTGATCGGGATGTCAAGCGATCGCACCTCTCGCAACTCAGGAAGTCCTGCGAGTCTGCGCTTGGTAAGAACTTAAAAATTTGTCCGAGGCTATATGTAATTGCTGTACAAAATTATTAAGAACATATCTGAGATATTATATTTTGGTATAATTTATATGCCAATCTTTTTTTCTAGACTAAGATTCAACAATCTATATTCCTAAACGTATAATTTTAAAGCAAGTACCCAAAAAGATCCTCATTGATTTTAGATCATAAAGTATCTCATGAAGAATTTTTCTCTGCTTCAATCTGTTACTTCATTATACTCATCACTATTTTCATCTTTTACAGAGGATCTTCGCAATGAGATCAAAGACGTGCCGGTTGGGCAGGGTGAAGAGGTAACGTCAAATGCATTGCCGCAGCCCAAGAGCGATTCAAATGTCATCACTGCAGAGAAGTACTTCTTGCCGTTCGAATTAGCATGCCAGAGCAAATCACCGCGGATCGTGGTGACTGCGCTTGACTGTCTGCAGAAGCTGATAGCATATGGTCACTTGACTGGCAATGTGCCTGACTCTACGGAACCTAGTAAGCTGCTGATCGTGCGCATCGTTGAGACCATCTGCGGCTGTTTCACCGGTCCGCAGACCGACGAGGGCGTACAGTTGCAGATAATCAAGGCCTTACTGACCGTAATGACGAGCCAACACGTAGAGGTGCACGAGGGCACGGTGTTATTGACGATCCGCACCGTCTACAACGTCTACCTGGCGTCACGTAATCTGGTGAACCAGACGACAGCTCGCGCAACCCTCACTCAGATGATCAATGTGATATTCGCGCGTATGGAGTCTCAGGCCGAGGAGGAGAGCGTGAAGATCGACGGTGAAGCTCAGCAAGAGACCGGAGGAGGCACTGTCGTGGCGAACGGTGAAGCTGAGGCAGAGCTAAGCGCAGAGAATGCCACCAACGGTGATGCTACGGATCCTCAGACGATTGTCCGAGGCATCCTCGACGATGTGGTAAACTCGGTGGTGCCGTTGGAGGAGGAAGTCAGTCTTGAAAATGGGCCGGAGGACAACGGCGACGAGGCGACCGCCGAGAGCGACAACATGGTCACCGCTAAGTTCACGCATGTGTTGCAGAAAGACGCGTTCCTCGTGTTTCGCGCTCTCTGCAAGCTCTCGATGAAGCCGTTGCCGGACGGCACCCCAGATCCGAGGTCGCACGAGCTCCGCTCCAAGATTTTGTCGTTGCAACTGCTGTTGGGAATCCTGCAAAACGCCGGCCCGGTGCTGCGCTCGAACGAGATGTTCGTCATCGCGATCAAGCAGTATTTGTGCGTCGCCTTGTCGAAGAACGGAGTCTCGTCGGTGCCGGAGGTGTTCGAACTGTCGTTGGCTTTGTTCTTGGCACTGCTCGCGCGCTTCAAGGTGCACCTCAAGATGCAAATCGAGGTGTTCTTCAAGGAAATCTTCATGAACATCCTCGAGACTTCCAGCAGCTCCTTCGAGCACAAGTGGATGGTTATACACGCGCTCACTAGGATCTGCGCGGATGCCCAGAGTGTCGTCGACATCTACGTTAATTATGATTGCGATCTTTCCGCCGCCAACCTCTTCGAGAGGCTCGTCAACGACCTATCCAAGATTGCCCAAGGTCGTCAGGCTTTGGAACTCGGCGCATCGCCTAATCAGGTGCGTTTTAACTGGGAGATTGGAGGACAATTGAGCAAAGTAAATTTTCATTTATCTTAAATGTTAGGTGTCAACTTTAGCGTAAAATCTGTAAAATTCTAACATGCTCGATAAAGCAGCATCTACAATACGTGTAGTAAGCTTTGAACCGTAAGAAATTGACCAATGATAACCGATTATTCTTCTCACGTTCGACTGGTTTCTACGACTTAAGACTTATTACACTTACTGTAGATACCGCTTAGTATGACTTGTGAAATTCTTCCGATAGAACTTTTGTCGAACTACAATATATAAATTATCAGGGTTGCCGCAGATCTGGAAAACCGAGGAAAATCAGAGAAAGATATAAAAAATCTGAAATTTACAACTTTTCTCACAATTGTATACTTTTCTCCAATACTCAATTTATTTTTCGTTGACTTGAATTTGCGTTCAGAATTATGTTACTAAACTTTTAAGTTTGTGTTATTTCTAATAATATAAGCTACTTTTCCTGCAATCTCTGTCTCTAAACGTTCAAATTTAAGATAACACATTGCTCATGGAAAATTCTCCATCGTTGTCTAGAAAGCATGGAAAAATCAGAAAATTTCAAAATTCATTTTGATAACACTGATTATTTAACTTCTCTATAGCAGTTTCTGAAGCGTTCAATATAATAACACGAGCGTTCCATCTTTCCAGGAGAAATCTATGCGCATCCGCGGATTGGAGTGTCTCGTGTCCATCCTGAAGTGCATGGTGGAGTGGAGCCGGGATTTGTATGTGAACCCCAGCGTACCTGCGGACCAGCAACCGCTGTCGGACCCGCCAGACCCGGCGCCGGAAACCCCGCTACCGCGTTACGGCAGTGCTGGTAGTCTCTCATCGGCCAACTCCAGTTTGACCGGCAACAAGGAGGTGCCGGATTCGCCAGAACAATATGAAGTGCAGAAACAACAGAAGGAGGTATGGGAGGCCGGCATCGAGATCTTCAGTCGAAAGCCTGGCAAAGGTGTGCAATACCTGCAAGAACAGGGCCTGCTCGGCACATCGCCGGAAGACGTGGCCAGGTGGCTGCATCTGGACGAACGACTTGACAAGACAGCCATCGGTGACTTCCTGGGCGATCACAATCACAATCAGGTGATGTACCACTACATCGACCAGATGAACTTCGCCGAGCGCGATCTAGTCACTGCACTCAGGTACTTCCTGGAAGGCTTCCGGCTACCCGGCGAAGCGCAGAAAATCGATCGCTTGATGGAGAAGTTTGCCAGTCGTTATTGCGAGTGCAATCCTAATAATGGGCTGTTCACCAGCGCGGATACCGCTTACATCCTCGGTTTTTCCATCATTATGCTGACGACCGACTTGCACTCGCCACAGGTCAAGAATAAAATGACCAAGGAACAGTATATCAGGTATATTTTAGTATAAATTTATTAAATTAGATTGTGCAATCTGTCATTTTTTGCTAAAAAAGTTTTGTGAATATGTTAAATATGATATAAAACCGACAATTTTTTATTTTTTTTATTTAATTTTTTATATACAGGGTGTCTATTGCTAGGTACAAAAGCTGTCATATACTTATACATTAGATCATCCTGAACAAAAAAAGTCATTTACCATTTTGCAAATAATTATGAAAATTTTAGAATTATTAATTAAAGAAGCCTCTATATATGTGGCTATTTTCAATCATAGATAACTCAAAATTTTGATAGAGGACCCTTCTGTTCACATTAACTAAACTATCAGTATATGAACGGATAGAACATTTGACGACAACACCCTGTATACTTGAATTAGTGTAATACATTAAGTTAATAACGTTGCCACATAATATGGGCTAATTGTTAAATATAAAATAGGAAATTGAGAAATGTGTGTAGCGCACGTTCTTGATGCAGGACGATTGAAGAAACTCAACGAATCTCTTTATTTTCAATTACCAGGTTGAATCGACGTATCAGCGACAACGAGGACCTCCCCGAGGAGTACCTTTCCAGGATCTACGACGAGATTGCTGGCAACGAGATCAAGATGAAATCGAACCCGAACAACAGCCGACTCGCCGGCAAGCAACTGATCTCGAGCGAGAAGAAACGGCGATTGTTGTGGAACATGGAGATGGAAGTGATCTCCACGGCGGCGAAGAATCTCATGGAGTCCGTGAGCCACGTTCAAGCACCGTTCACCACGGCTAAACACTTGGAGCATGTACGGCCGATGTTCAAGATGGCCTGGACGCCGTTCCTCGCGGCTTTCAGCGTCGGACTTCAAGATTGCGACGACCCGGAGATCGCGTCGCTTTGCTTGGACGGTATCAGGTAAGAGAATATAATGTAGAAAGTTGTTGAATGGCTGATTTATTAATTCAAGATAACGTTTCCATGACTTAAGTTTTTGTCTTAAGTAATACAATGACTGTCTTGTGTTTGAAGTCTTGATCATTTAGACAGATTTAAAAGCAAAGGATATTACCTTAAAATTACAAATCAGCCATTCTGCCAAGATCCTTACGTTGCCCGAGACATTTTAATTTAATACAATCAAAATCTAATCTGTAAATATAAAATGCAGCTTAAATATATACATTTCAATTGGTGACGTTCCAGATGTGCCATCCGCATCGCCTGTATCTTCCATATGAGCCTAGAACGCGACGCCTATGTGCAAGCATTGGCGAGATTCACCCTGCTGACGGCCAACTCCCCCATCACCGAGATGAAGGCGAAGAACATCGACACTATCAAGACCCTCATCACTGTGGCTCATACTGACGGCAATTATTTGGGTGGCTCATGGCTCGACGTTGTCAAGTGCATCTCGCAGTTGGAGTTAGCGCAACTTATCGGCACCGGCGTGAGACCCCAGTTACTGGGTCCGCCGTCGAAGCCGCACTTTCCGTCGCCTTTGGCGAATTTCGGTAATCTCACGCATTCTGTCGGCTCACATCAAGCTAACAGTCTCAATTTGAGCTCGCTGGACCCCAGCGTGAAGGAGTCCATCGGCGAGACCAGCTCGCAGAGCGTTGTCGTGGCCGTCGATCGCATCTTCACCGGCTCCACCAGACTCGACGGCGACGCTATTGTTGAATTCGTCAAAGCTCTCTGCCAGGTCTCTCTCTCTCTCTCTCTCCCCCCCCCCTCCCTCTTTCTCTCCCTCTCTTTCTTTGAAATGAAACGAGCAATTTTTACACAATAAACATTTATGCAATTTACATGATATGGATATTCGTCGTTAGGTTTCCCTCGAGGAGCTGGCGCACCCCACGCAGCCGCGCATGTTCTCCCTTACGAAAATCGTCGAAATCTCGTATTACAACATGGGACGCATCAGGCTCCAGTGGTCCAGAATCTGGCAGGTTCTCGGTGATCATTTCGACAGGGTAGGATGTAGCCCTAGGCAAGATATCTCGTTCTTCGCCGTGGACTCTCTGAGGCAGCTAGCCACGAAATTCATTGAGAAAGGCGAATTCGCCAACTTTAGATTCCAAAAAGACTTTCTCAGGCCGTTCGAGCATATTATGAAAAAGAACAGGTAATTCTGTTTGATTTCCTCAACTTCGTTTCACTTTTCGCGACATTACGTTGAACACTGTGATGTATCTATTTTAATTTACATAATTTTTTTCACATAATCGTATCTCTAATGAGAGAGAGTGAGAGATGTATTTCGTCGTGGAGTGCAATTCGATTTAATTTGATGCAGGTCTCCCGTCATCAGAGACATGGTGGTTAGATGCGTGGCGCAGATCGTTCATTCGCAAGCGCCCAATATCAGATCTGGTTGGAAGAATATCTTCAGTGTTTTCCACCATGCAGCTAGCGATCGTGACGAGTCTGTCGTCGAGTTGGCTTTCTCGATGACTGGCAAGATAATAAGTAAGTAACGATCAAATACGTTTGTATGTTTTGATTGTATCAAATGTTATATTACTATCAGAAATTTGTTAACTTTTACATTACTTTAAGAAATTTGTTAATTTGGCTTCTTCAGTGATTTCTGCGTTCATCTTGTACTTTGAACCATATGAATTGGTTTTGTAATACATCACAATCGGTGAATCTGAATTAATTTCATTTTAAGTGGATTGTATTAATCTTATATTTATCATTTTTAACTCGTGCACAATGTGTTTACAGACGAGCTGTATGCGGAGGACTTCAGCATCATGGTAGATTCTTTTCAAGACGCCGTCAAGTGCTTGAGCGAGTTCGCATGTAATGCGTCCTTCCCGGACACTAGCATGGAGGCAATTCGGCTGATACGTTCCTGCGCGTCTTATATCGACGCGAATCCCAACTTGTTCGCCGAGGGTATGATGGACGACAGTGGAATGGTTTCCGAGGAAGACCGAGCCTGGGTATCGTTCTCTTCATTCACTTTTTCGTATTAACCCTCAGTTGTCACAACCTCGGAATTTCACGTTGTTGTTACAACGGGTAGGACATACCCGAGCTGTTTCTGTAAAATCAAAAGATATTCAACGAGAATATATGCTGTCCTCTCATAGTAGGACGTTCATTATCTCAATTTTTTTCTATTTTCTCTTAGGTAAGAGGTTGGTTCCCGCTGTTGTTCGAGCTATCTTGCGTAGTGAGCAGATGCAAGCTGGACGTCAGGACGCGCGCATTGACGGTGCTCTTCGACGTTGTCAAGACGCACGGCGCGTCCTTCAAACCTCATTGGTGGAAGGATCTCTTCCAGGTTCTTTTCAGGATTTTCGACAATATGAAATTGCCTGAGCAGCATACTGAGGTTCGTGTCTTCCAAATAATTAAATTGCGTCTTTTAATTTTCATTTATTTACATTTTTAATTTCCTGTGTCCTTCTTCTGAAATCTTTAATTTCGTGTGTAGATAATTTTTTTTTAACTGCTTTTAAGACACTGTCGCAAACCGAAACCGATTTCTACGAAGATACGCAACGATTTCCCTTTAAAAGTAACCGCATGAACAAACGCATCAACGAATGTTACAGAAAGCCGAATGGATGACAACGACGTGCAATCATGCGCTTTATGCCATCGTAGACGTCTTCTCGCAGTTCTACGACATCCTGGGTCCGTTATTGCTGGAACAGCTGTATTCCCAGCTGCTGTGGTGCGTGCAGCAGGACAACGAACAGTTGGCTCGATCGGGCACCAATTGCCTGGAGAACCTGGTCATCAGCAATGGTATTAAGTTTGACGAACAGACCTGGGAGAAAACGTGCCAGTGCGTGTTGGACATCTTCGAGAGCACTTTACCGTCGGCGCTGCTCACGTGGAAACCACAGTCACCTAACAAGGAGTCCGACCTCGACGTGATCACCGGCGAGGCGGACGGTCATCATATCGGTATCTTAAAAAGGAGCAACAGCGCGCAGAGTTTGAACACCGAAATCCTGCCGAAAGCGAAGCTTTTCTCAGCATTGTTGATCAAATGTGTGGTACAATTGGAGCTGATACAGACTATCGATAATATCGTTTTCTACCCGGCGACCTCGCGCAAAGAGGATCAGGAAAATTTAGCGCTCGCGCAGGCCGACATGCTAAATGGCAAGACGTCGGAGCTTGTAAAGTGAGTCTTTCCGTTCAACTTCGAAATAACGTATTTTGCAAATTTGCAGTACTTGCTTGAATTTGTTTAAATTGCTTTAATTACAAGTAACTATACGACGACTTGCGTTTAAAACATTATCAAATATCTTATATTTACAAATATACTTTTATCCGTGATTGGAATGAAAAGTTAATACGAATTGCTATTTAACATTTTTTATTTCGTTATTCTTTTACTATACTGTGTTATCCAAGAGATTTCTCGTATACTCATTTTATGTATTTTTTCGTCTTAATACGATGCATTTCTTTCCGTCGAAAAAAATATCTACTTCTGAGCGAACAATTCCGATTTATAAAGATATCGTTCATTCATGGAATCTGGCTTTCAGGGCCGGCACCGATCAGCAAAAGGAGGAGCAGGGCATGTACTGCGCCCTGACAACCAGCCACCTTCTGCAGCTGGTCGATTGCCTGTTGCGGTCGCATCGTTTCGCTAAGAGCTTCAATTCTGACCACGAACAGCGCAACGTGCTGTGGAAAGCCGGCTTTCGCGACAACGTGAAGCCGAATCTGCTGAAGCAGGAGACGCAATCGCTCGCCTGCGCGCTGCGTATCCTCTTCAAGATGTACAGCGACGAGGTACATCGCGTCGACTGGCCTAAAGTCGAGGCACGACTGGTCGAGGTTGCGTGCGAAGCTCTCGAGTACTTCCTCGCGATCGCCAACGAGGCCCACCGCGACGCATGGACGCCGATCCTGCTGCTACTGCTCACCCGTATCCTCAAAATGAGCGACCATCGTTTTGCGGTGCACGCCTCGACCTGCTACCCTTCCCTCTGCGAAGTGATGTGTTTCGACCTCAAACCGGAGCTCAGGTCGGTCCTGCGCAGGTTCTTCCTCAGGATCGGGCCAGTCTTCAGGATTACGCAGCAGTAGTGACGAGTCGGCGAGTAGCGATGGGCTGATGACGAATGTTTCGAGATTATTTCGACTCGAAACGGCGTAGGTTTCTAATTGCTTCGAGTATTATTCGAAGCTAGTAAAATATCAAAATTCCTCAAATTTACAGCAATTTAAATTTAGCGATAAAGTATCGTAAAACGAGATTTTAGCATCCCGAAAAAGAGAGTCTCGAAGCTTTTAGAATTATTAAAATTATCAAATCTGTCGAATCTGTCAAATCCACTCAATTTTTAAGGAATTTCAACATCTTCGCGCAAGATTTCAACATTTCAAAATTTAGAGATTTTCAAGATTTTTAAAAACTTTGTGATCTTTAGCTTCAACAAGACAGTAAAGATTCAATAGGAGTTTATAGTAAATCTTGAAGAAGCCCTCATTTGAAATAATATTTGAAGTGGTTCGAAATTCTACGCTAAGATTGAATCATCTGAATATTTGCAAGAAGACAAGGTTGAATGCCTATTGTCTACGCAGTAGTAGAAATGTAATTAATTGTAAAGCGCGGTTAGGTACTTCGGCCCGTGTTAAACTACTTACATACGATCCAATGATTCGCATGAGTTTCTGTTGCACCGAATTGTTTGATCAATTTTGCATTATTTTACATCTCACACATTTCACTTTGATACTTTGATTCGTCTATGTGGCACACCGCATTTAACGCTAAATGTAGCCTGCTTTTTATTCGTCCAATGTGCAGATTTGTGAACAGCGTATCAACGGCATTCTACAATAGTATGTATCGTGTGACAACTTGTTATAATTATAGTAATATTCAAATCTATAGTATTATCAAAGTGATATTTATGTTTCATTTACCGAGTAATCTGCACATCCACCCAGTTCACATTTAGCGCTGAATGTATTACGTGAGACACGCACTATTGTGCACACGTTTGCGCAACGTTTGTCGCAGAAATCGCTGGATCGCATACGAGGCGTTTAACGCTACGTGTACACACATGCGTCTATGTAATATATTGGAACATATACACGTATATAAAATGGTACGGAATATCGTGGAAATCGGCGACATAAATATATGTGTCTTTGTCGAATTTGAAATTGATTCTTCTTTAGCGTAATCTTAAAAAGCGATTCAAACAATCATTTGTGCCGATTTTATTTGTATAATTTTCGTTGTATAATTTTCATTGTCCGTCTTAGAAAAAAAAAAAATCACTAACCAATATATGATGAGAGACTTGATTTAAGAATCTGATACACTACAAAAAAAGACATTGAATTTTTAACATAGGTTACGTTTTATGTTTATCTGCTATTCATTAGTCTATGTATTTCGCAAGAACGTATAATTTACACCTGGAATACTTCACTGAATGGACCACTCATTGTTATTTCCAAGAAAAGACATTTGTTCTTCAATCTCAAAATCGACAATACCTTATTAATTACAGAATTACGTCAAATTCAGAATGTCTCGACATTGAGAAGATGCAGTTTTATTTACCGCTAACTGTGTGTCGTCGTTGTTCCGTCAAGTAGACGATGAAATGTCGAGGAGAAAAAACTACCGCGAGTTCCCATATTTCTTGAAGAGTAAGATATGTATAGATTATAAATAGCGATTGTGTGAGTAGTTAGCTAGGCATTGTTGAAGCGATAGTCTTTATAATTTGATAGAAAACGAGAATGAGTGTGTGCGTGACAAAGGGGCAAGTGCTGTTGTCAATACGTAGAAAATTTAAAATAAGACATCNATATATATATATATTTATATATATATATATTTATAAACGTGCCGGCGTAAGAAATGTAACGCTTAAATAACTTATATATATAAATAGCAATTGGTCCTTTGACGTGATTCGATCTTATTTAAATAAATTCAATGAAAAAGATGTGTTCATGAAACAACCTCAGACTCAAGTCCTCGAGTTTCACGATTGTAGCTTCTTTCAGTAATGATAGTTTTCATCTTTTCAATATTTCGTAAAACCGTACGTATTCTGTTGCATCGTCCTTTATATTAAGTGCTTGCAAAAGTTCGTATATTAAAACCATTTTTATTTATTAACAACAATGAGATGACATATAATATTTTAATCAAAGTATTAGCCGTCGCTATCAAAAACCTTTTGTCATCTTTCGAGAGATAGTTTGATTCCGCGTTGATAAAATCACTCATCTTTTGAAGTGATCAATTCATCGACTTATTTCCGCATTTCCTCAGCATTTCGGAGCTTTAATATATCAGATATAACATGCTGTATTGATTTGGATGGATGAAAATTAGATGGGACGATGTCTGGAGAATGTGTTGAGTGTGGCAAAACTTCCCAATCTAACTCTAATGTCTCTTTGGTTGCAACAACAATATATGGCGTTATCGTGAAGCAAGATGACGTAGCGCCGATTCGTGGCTATTTGAGGGAGTTTTCCTGTATGGCTTTATTCAAATGCCATAATTGTTGGCAATCTCCTGTGATTGATATTTGTTTAATTATTTCATTATCGTCGTTTTTGCCAAAGTTGAATTTTATCTATTTTTCATGTAGGATATATAAGGGAATAAAAGTACGCCAGATTTGTTGTTGAGTCGTACTACGTGCTCGATTTTTCATTAGATAGTGGCGACTCGTAGCGGCGACTTTATGAAGTTAATTGCAACGTTTGCGCGAAGGTAAACGTGATAATCATTATAACCTCCTTCGATAATTTTGATTTTCACAAATATATTGATAATGCTACACAGTTTCATACGTAATTGGCTTTAGTTTACATGTTGTGATAAAAACAAATGTCCAAATCCATTTTAACATAATTCGATTTTCATATCTACATAAACATTATAAATATTCCTATTTTACTATATTCTAATACATATTTGTGTATTAATATATGGTTACAGATTAGCGTGACATCAGTAGAAATTCATTTTGAACAACTGGTGCCATCGTAAAATGCCATGAACGATCTTAAGGTGTATCCTTACTTTATAGACATATAATCTCTTTCAACGACAGTAAACTTTATTATTCGATCAAATGTTTTTAACCAAAAACCTTAACATTGCACAGAAATCTATCCGTGCCTTTCCCAAGTGCGAGGGAAGCAGAAGTAGCATATGAGGTGCTTCGAGTCGACGAGGAACCGTCTAGAAGTGCAGTGACCAAGAAGCTTACATTAAATAATAATATCCTAGAAGTGTGAGTACACAACAATATGATTTTCTTTTATATTGCTTTACTAACATTCGTCATTTCTTTCACAGATCATTCAGTGGCAAAGAAGCACGGAAGGTACGTGTAGGACTTACATCCTTCTTTGACAGTCTTTTACTAGTCACAGAAACCATTCAACAATTCGGCCCACCTGAACCAATATACAATCACTAATTAGCCAATAGTCTTTTGCTACCATCTTAACTAATTATGTGTTATTGATATTTAAAAATGTACATACGTAATTATGGAGCATACTCCTGCACCTTATGGGCCCAGAGCCGTATACGGATACGCTATGCACATAGGCTCAAACATACTCTTCTTGTTGTATGTAATATGGGCTTTGGTGCCAGATGAAGTGTTGCATGATTATTTGGGCCTGACATACTTGCCATCTAAGTATTGGGCAGTGGCACTACCCATATGGGCATTGACTGCCTTGGCCACATTCGCGTTTCTCATTTATCCAGCTATCAATATGTTAATAACTCCGGATATCAACGATCTCAGAACTATTACGGACAAGCATGCTCTGCACAGGACTGAGACTACTCCTGGTGGGATACCGTCAGTATCTGACATACCCATAACGGAAGTTTGCAGGACGCTATATCTGAGGAACAATAAATCGTGATTATTACCCTTGAAGTGATCTTGTTCTTTGTTGAGGTTCTTTTTGCATTCCGCCGGAAATAACGTTTGAAGTATGCGACGTCAGTGGTAACTGCCAAAGATCGGGTATAGAATCTATCTAGTGTAAAGTCTTCCAGAAAATTAACGCATCAAACGTGTACCAGATATCCTTTATATATTTTTCACTTCATACATTTATATTACTGTTCCCTATATTACCTTGTTAATAAATTGTGTATAACATCCAATCAACATAAGAAGTCTCATTGGAAGTTATCATAATTTTTTCTTACATAATATAATATGAAGGTCAGCAATTGCGTCAGAGTATTACTTATATTATAACATGTACGACTACAAACATCTCCGCGTCGTTATTATATAAGTCGATAACCACTCGGTAGTATAAGTTGAGGAAGAGGAGCGATTACACGCTGATTCGTAATGAGAAACTTTGTTCTTGCGAAGAAGAGAGACACGGATAGAAATGATATTGAGGACGATTCTCCGACGACCTGTAATCTCCGTACCGAAAATCGTCATCGTGAGATCGTGGATCTGCGACGATCGTTGAGAGACAAGATTAGTAAACACGAGATATTCTATAGTTTCGAAATTGTTTCCAGAAAGGAGTCCGGTACATCTTACCAAAGGTTCGTACAGTGAGAGAAATCTTCAGGCAAATTATAATATTGATAATGTGAATAAGTAACGATCTTCAATCGCTGGCATCTTAATGTTCGTGATTTGAATTTGATATTTTACTCAAATTATTGCAATTGATTCTCATTGACGGTAAATAATATCCTTCAAAAATACTCTATTAAAAAAATGTATATAACGTAAATCAGGCTTCTCGCGGAGATGGATAAATACTCGCCTCTTTTTTACGCGTTAACGTGGCATGTTAACGAAGGAGTTTCTGGCAATAAAAATTATGCGCCTTTGGAGATATTAAAGAACCTCCCGAATAACACGCTCTTACATCTAGCAGCTAAGGGTTTGAGGCGTGACGAAGTCGTCAGTATCTTAGAGAAAGCCCTTACGCTTGAAATAGTCAACATATTTGCGCTACAAGGAGGTAACGTATCATGGATCCTTTCCACCTTTATATTTTTCAATAGGAACGAATAGGAATTGAAATACAAAGATTCGTTGTCCATTAACGTCCCGCAATTCGTGAGAACTCTTGTGTTTCCGTGCCAAAATATTTCCATGATGCATTGCTGCAAATAATTCTACTAGAAACGGATCCCCGATGAAAATATTTTGCTGAAAGTACCGTGAAATCAGCGAAAAGTGAAGTGAAAGTTATTTCAAAATGAATCATAATTTTCCTTATGAAATTGAATATAATACTGTGAAATGTAAGGAAAGTTAAATTATATTGTTGTAAAGTAATATATTTTTAGAAATATTAGATAACATGAAATTTAACCGAAAACTGAATTTTTACTGAAATATCGATGGAATAATAATAAAATATTAATTGAGAGGGAATTTCAAATACATTTCAGCAAAATTTCATTATATTTTCAGTAAAATATTTCTACCAGAGATGGTTCGAGCTTTCGACGCAAACTTTCGAATTCCAAGATATATCTCGGTAGGTCCGGAATATGTACTTCGAGGTATGCGTCGCAATGTCACTTAATAATTTGATTAATTAATTTTTATTAGTATCTCGTACGTTGCGTTTGTCCAGGATCAAAAAGGTTGAGTTCAAGATGTAATCTTCGCGGTTGAAGTTTACTTATCGATTTCCGAAATGTTTTGCCGAAAAGACAAAATACAAGATTTCGACTGAATCGCAGATTCTTCGTCCGGAGACGGTGACTTCGTGCACGCAAGTGAATTGGTCGCTTTTATCAGAGAACATTTCGGCGACGCGTTCTGCGTATGTGTAGCGGGCTATCCGCAGATGCACCCAAAGTCAGCCTCCAAGGAGCTCGATTTGCATTATTTGAAAACGAAAGTAACGAGCGATTCCTATATCGATTCGCGCGATAGCAATTCAATGTCACGCGAACGAGATTTGCGATAGATATTTCTATAAGCGCAGATTTTATCTGGAATTTTTTAGGTCGAGGCCGGCGCAGATTTCATCATAACGCAAGTGATTTTCGAATCTCAAGTTTTCATTGATTTCGTAAAAGATTGCCGAGAGATCGGTATTCAGGTTCCAATTATACCTGGAATTTTCACACCAACGGATTATGAGTGTTTAGAAATGATGGAGCGTGTTTGTAAGCTCGACATTCCGGGAAAAATTAAAGACGATCTGGCGCGAATGAGGGGCGAGGACACAATGATGAGAAAATTCGTACTTGAATTAACAGCACAGATAATCACGGATGTGATTGGAAGCGGAGCAACTTGCGGCTTTCACTTATTTACGCTGAACAGGTAAATAGACAACGCTTAAATGCGATATACTGCAGCCACTTAACTTAATTAGACATATATTTTTACATATTCCATATATACATATGTACGCATTTATATCATATTTCTAGATTATCGCTATTGACGGAAATATGCGGTCACATAAATTCTTGCAAACAGATGACCTAATCTTTCTTAAATTTGTTCAAAATGGTGTCAACGGATTTACCATCGAGAAATTTCCTGCCGCTTTATTTACGTTTCTATTTACAAATTATAATTAAAGTCACAGAGACAATCGTTCGAATAAATTTTGTACGAAATAGAATAAAACCACTATTGCAACGCATCGTGTCGGCACATTTTATTCAATTCCATCTTGTCGCATCTATATTTTTATTTTCTCAATGTATGTTAACAAATTCAACGTATCGTCGTTACGAAACAATTACGTTGAAACCGACCACGACGTTAGGACACGTTAAGAGGAAGAAATTTGAATTTTACCGGGGGGCGTCCGGTCGCCCGCGGCCGTTACTGAGCCCAGCGCGCGCAGGCGACGCATGCGCGCGGTGCGGCATAGTAGTGAAAGCAGCGCGGCCCGAGTCAGTCGAGTTGAGGCGCCGGAGTACCGCGTGGTCGGTCGGTCAGTAGTCAGTCGAGTCGAGTCGAATCGGTCGTTCGAGAGGGAAACGAGAGGGAGGAACCTCGCGTAAGCAGGATTAACGCAAGCAGAACGCAAGAATGGCGCTCTTTCGCTTCACCCCTAAACGCTGTCTCGACGTACAGGTGAGTCGGTGCATTTTTTTGCTACCCTTCGCGGAAGTGCGAGTTTCGCGCGCTGTTCACCTTCGAAATTGTGGGTTGTCTTGTTCGATTTGCCGGCTCACTTCGACATTCTCACTTCGACATTCAGAGAAAAAGAGAGAGAGAGAGAGATTTGTGAAATTCGTGGGGCAGTTCGTCCTAACGCGGACGATGCGACGTTCTATCGACCGGTGTGGCGGCCGACTCTCGAAGCTTCCCGCCTTTGAGAAAAACCTACGCACTTCCAAATTTGTCGATGTACTCGCGATCGAACCCAATGCTCCGGCACCCTTCCAGACGCGATTCCCTCTTTTGGAGGAAAGTTAAACGCTGCTGAGACGTACGTGCATATGTGTGTGCTAATATCAGCGGTACGCGCGTGTGTGCGTGTGGCGCGCAGGTTGCGACCTGTGTGAGTGCCATGAAATGAGCATGGTAAGCGGAATCTTTATCGTAGAACCGTTAGATGAATCATAGACCTGGTTTTCAGGAGATACAAAGCATTAAGGTCGGCACATCAACTGTGATATGTCGTATCTTGAAAAAAAAATACTATGGTTTCGTAAAAAAGAGTCGTCTTTTTCCTTACGTGGCTTCGATGAATCGTGACTACCCAAACGCGAAATAACATGTCATTCTGTATATAGATCGCGTGTCGTGAGTGACATCGTGCGAGTGTAGATTATCATCGATAATATAAATAATTATATAATTGTAATATAATTAATTAGATAATTAACAGAACGTTAGTTGCGTGGAAATGCTTTGTAATAGAGAAAGAGGCACAAGGTTCCCTTCAAGGGCAAGATTACGTTGAATGAGGCCGCTATACACGTATTAACGATGTATTTGTGTGACTTTATCGGTTTATCTGATAATAGAGAGAGAGGAAACATTACATTCTTCAAATATATTTCGAGCATATCGCGTTACGCGTGTGTGAAAAGCCGTGTTGTAACTTTTTAAAAGGCTACGTTGAATCTCAGGCCTTTATGCAATATACACGGTGTCCCGAAAAAGCGGAGATTAACTTAAATGCCGGATTTCTTCGGGTGAATGTTTGATTTTCTTCGTTGAGAAGAAGTAAAGTAACGGTTCATTCATCGAAAGAAAAGAGCAAGAAAATTTATTTTGAAGTCAAAGTCAATGGTTCCAGTGTGAAGAGAATTATGTAAAGATCTCGGGTTGACGTGCCTTCAAGCAGTCGGTTTGCGATCGATTCGCAAAAGCCGATGGTCACGTCTTCGCGACTCTCCAACGGTGCATTCAACGTCGCGTGCAACGTGATGCACCGCGCGAGGTGCACCGCCTTGAATCGATTCGGGAATTCTGCGACGACGGTTTTTTCTTACGAGGAAACCAGCTCGAAATTATTCACATTGGTTCATAATTGGTTTCAACTAATGAGTGGCGTCGCCATCGATGTTTTTGCTCTCCTTGTAACGATATGCAAAATTCTGGAAGCATGAATATTTCACTATTTGTCTCCAACTCCATACTTGTAGCCAAGTATCGACTAGCACGCGTTTAGACTTCGTAATCTTATTTGCTTAACGTTATTTGCCCGCGATCGCGAATAGCTTGAACGTGAAACGCGATGCATTGTTGGGGGATTCCACCTGCACGGCACATGGTCGACTTTCAAGAAATAATGAGCGTCATTAACGCTTATGTAATGAATATTTGAACGAGATCGACGTGGAGCCCTCGGACTTCGGTATTCACACAAATTGATTAGCGAGTATCGAAATTATACGGGAGAAAGGAAGGAAAAGAAAGAGGATGTCTTGTTTTGTGTGAGAAATATTTCCCGTAAGAATTTCATCCACATTAAGGTTTTTCGTTTTCTAGTTAACTTGTGGTTTAGGCTTAATGATAATATAATGATAATAGGCCTAATAATAATGTAAAAATTACGTTTTTTTATTCATAATTAAAACTACTTATTAAAACCACTACGAAACGTTACCACTACGAAACCATCAATTTATGATTAACCGTGAATAAAAAACACAATTTTTGCATTATTATCAGTTTAAGTCAAAACACAAGTTAACAAGAAAATGGAAAACCGAGCCTGATGTCCAGTTTCACCAATGTCGGTTAAACCTTAACTCGAGTTTACTCTTTTCAAAAATTTAAACTCGAATTAAAGTTTAATCGACGTTGGTGAAATTAGACATAAGTCATGGATATATTTCGAAAAAACGGAAATTTTAATCGACGTTAAAATCAAGGACAAAGTTTCAAGTTACGATTTACATATTAATGAAGAGAGAGGAAAAGAAAATTACGTAAAAGGAAGGCCTCTAGGAATTCTAAGCTCTCGTTAAGCGATGTCTTCGCTGTCTAACACTGACGTCAGACTTTTTTTCTCTCTTTAATTAACCACACGGAATTTCACGGCAACGTTTGAGAACCGGCGAATTGCTAGTGTCGAATCACTCTTTCCCTCTCTTTATCTTCCCCCGTCAATGAAATGGATAACCAAGATCGAATCCGTGTGATTCTCGCGGACAAAGGATCTGTCACGACCTACACGACGCAGGAAAACCGTATGCATGCGCGATTACGTAATGCGTATCGACGTTTGTCGATTCGAAATTATCACGAACGCGTTTCCCTAGTTGCGATGCGTCACGTGATTGCGAAATCCAAGTATACAAAATGTCCGAAGAGGATATATTCGTCCAGAAATCAAATATTCAAATAATAATTCCGGCAAATTCTGGCGATAAATAATATAGCTCGTAAATCGGGCGGAATTTAATCGTAGAGGTTAATTTACATTAATTATTGAATTATTATTAATTATTTAATTATTGTTATTATATATTAAACATATCGTGCATACTAGAACAATACAAAAGTTTCTATGATTTATGACAAAGAAAATATATCCTTTCTGTCGAACATATCAGAACATGTCGGAACAAAAGGCACTCTGCCACGTCTGTCTCATTTCGCACCGTGACTCCGGTAAAATCGAGAACCACATTCTAATTCGATTAGAACTGATATTCCAATCTAAAGCGAGCACGCTGTGTTTAAAAAAGTATTGTGCATCAAATAATATAATTTAAAAAAACTACTTTTTTCCATTTTTTCGCGGAAAGAAACAAAAAAATGGAAAAAAACGTTTTTTCATATTTTTCGCAGAAAACCTAGGAAAGAATTGCAGAAAATTGGAAAACTGTTTTTTTTCGGAGTTTTTAAAATTACATCAAATAGTATAATAGTACTAAACGAAGTTAGTAATAATAGTACTAAACGAAGATTTGGTCGGAACAATGTTACTTTTGATGAAAAAAATGTGTTTTTCACGTGTTTTTTGAACTTGTTATTAACTTACATGATAAATTCAATTTTTTTAGATATAGCGATGACGTAAAATGATTTTAGTTGCAACTTACTCGAAACCGCATTTTTTTTCTTTCTCGTGCGCGTAATAAGAACAAAATCGACGAAGCGTTACACAACGCGCGTATACATATATGTATATAAGAACATATAGACACGCACATGGCGTGCATAAGCGTGTACTCAAGAATCCCCTTCGCCGGCACAGAATGTCCATTGAACGGTTTTGTAAGGTGCTGCTAATTTTAGCGGCAATTTCGAGGTCGAAAATCCGCTTGTGGCCCCGTAATCCACATCGATCGTGACCTGAACTGGCAGTTGGTCACGTGGCACTTCCTCTGGCCCATAATTAGACTAAGTCGTTCGATTCATGGTCGGCCGAAAGATCTCATTAGTCGGAACTTCCAATTAGAAAATAAGATTCCAAATTCCGCGACAGATTCTTTCGCAAATGCGACAGTTGTTTCGTGAAAATAGATATCGGAAATATTGTTAAGCGGCCGTATCATGTTAATAAATTCTTCCATTTTCAACATTAAATTTATCAATAAACTATTTAATAAACTATTTAAAACAATGATAGAGCTTCCAGAGGGTTTATCAAATTTACTATACAACGATGTTTTCTTCCTTATTTTAATAATTATCGGAAATTCAAATAAGTCATCGTGTTTTGAAATTAAAAGCAATTTCATACACACATATACAAGATACACACAGTGTGTGGAAGTGTTGAGGAAGCCTTAATATTTACTAACCCAGAGCAGGGATGTCAGAAAGGATACTGCCACGTAGAAATTGTAATGGAGGGGATAATTCGCATATAATTCATATTCGTTGTGACATATACATCGTTAGATAAATGTATGTGTACAGATACATATAGTAAAAAGAAGCGCGAGCAACGTCGCCTTGATAAGGCTCGTTGTCGGCTTGGTAAGAAGAGAACGAGACAGAAAATAACATCTCTCTTCTCTTTTATTATCTGAAGCTGACCGGAACATGGAGTGCACACGTACACGACTTTCGGTTGTGTACATTATCCCCTCCACTACAATTTCTACATGACAAAGTCCCTTTTCTGACATTCCTGATCCAACGTCTAGAAATGACTGGTGAGTTTCAACCTAATAAATATCAAGACTGTCGAAGCTTGGTATACACGTATCCACTAACCATGTATGTGCAACGTACGATTAATACACGCGTGTCGATTCATTGGTGTGTGTTATTATAAGTTGCAAAAAACTTCACGGTTAATTAAACATACAACTCGACGTATCAAGGCCGACACAGTTACACACGCAGGTGCCAAGTGACGTTTTTCGTTCGAGACAAACTGGATAGTCATAATTCCAACGAAGTTGTTGCTATATGAGAGGATGATTATCTCGATAACCCTGACAGGAAGAGTCGACGAGGTTTCATCGCGAGTATTCCTCGCGAGCACTGAATTTTCCGTATCGCAATTCTTGGCAGAGGCAATCGAAGTTCCTCCCGTCTCACTTGTATATACGTTTCTTACCTGTTACCTAACGCCACGACACACATCGTCCTATCGCGTAACACACTATTTCAGAGCCGATTTTTTCGTTCTTCGATCCGACCCACGAACGCGTCGT